TCCTTTCAGCTCGTGGAGGTTATTGAAATTCAAAGCAGTTTCAAAGCCTCGAGAACACAACGGGCTACGAGCCAGGAATAATATTTGGCTCTTAAAAGAACTTCTGTTCTGTTTCGCACAGAGAAATAAAACTCCCATGAAGCACTGCAGCGTCCACTGGTGGAATACAGACTAGGACAGGTTATAAGACGATAGAGAGCAGTGGAGGACAACGCCTGCTAGTGGCTTAAATACAGTTCAATTCATTGTGCCACAATAAAGGACAGAAAGAGACAGCAGTGGACAGTGAAATACAGATTAAAACACATAAAAGGTTGGTAGAAGAGAGTAGAAGACAGGCAAGGAGAGTACAGAGAATTACAGAGTGTAAGACATTAGAGGACATTACAGTTTGGTAGAGTAAGGGACAGACAGCACCGGTCAGTACAAGACACAGTAGAAGACAGTAAAAGACACTTCAGTGAATACAAAGGCAGTAAATAAAGAGTGGGAGACAGTAAAAGACAGTAAAGTTCAGTAAACATCCAACGTGGCCGTCGGCTGTTTTGCTGACTTCTGCACAACTACTGTGTGTAGTTGTGCAGAAGTGAAACAACTGAAAGAACCGACTGGATCCGTCAGAGGACTCAACGCCTCCCAGGCCGAGCCAGCGTGACCTCACCAACACGCAGACGCTTAAATCGGAGCAATATTTCAGTCATTTAACTATTGTTCGTTTTCCCTCTGGGATCACTGGCTAAATTCCTCCACCTTTAAGTAACTACCTGCACATTGCAGACTCCGAGGTCATAACGTGAACACTGGCACCTCCTGCTGGGGGAAATACTGAACAGCTGAAGTGTAGACATTTGTTAGGCTTGTAAATTATAAAATTCTAAAATCTTTATTTTCCTTTTAATAAGTGAAAAATTCCGGAGCAGTAGAGATTATTTACCCTTGTTTTGCTTATTTGATTTCAAGCATTTTGGGCAAATTGATTGTAACTTTCCTGCAACTAATGCAAAAATCGTTTTTATTTTTAACGTTTGTATTTGTATTCTTAATGACAAAACTAATTTCATTGTTTAACTTAATCAAACATAAAATGTGAAGCCCAAACAAGACTAAAGCAGACGTGCATATAATTATTCAATGAACTGCATTGCATTTATATAATAATATGAAAGTTTATGTCAAATAAAAATGTGTTTTAAAGGTTGTCTTATGCTATACAGTGTTAATTAATGTGTGAATTTAATATTTTATTGATTAAAAAAATATATATATATATTTCTGGGAAACAATAACGTGCATTTTCCCTCTAAATTGGGGTTACAAGAAAACAATAACTGTCATTTGTGCGTCACCATTGAACTCGATTTTCCACTGAAGTTCATCTCAAGACGTCACCTTCACAAGACACTAAAATTAACGTGTGACTCACTATCCAAAAGAAGAACAGAGTCGTATCACTAAGACGTTTGTCTGTCATTAATAATAATAAATAACACATTAGCACTTGGCACTTTGATATGTTTGTGTTTCTTAACACACACACGTTATTACACACCCTGCATTAAAAACACACCACCTATTATGGGCTAAAAGTCACTCTGTGTTGATGTTTCATGAGCTTGTTTCACTCTCACGTCGATGGGAAGAGAAATGTTGCGTTCAAGGTCTCCCCGGTTTTTGCAGACGCTAAATTCAATACTTGCCACTGAATAACAAAAAACAATGACGAGAAAGTATTGTTGTAAATCTTGCAGAAATCAAATGTCATGGAGCTGTGGCAAGAGCACGGACCAGGTTTAGCAAATACACAGAATGTATTATAGCAGCTGTTTCTGCGTACGTACTAAATGGTCCGTGCCGCTTAAAAGGCGTCCTACCCAGCCTGCGTGCTGCTTACGTGTAAAACAAAAACAAAAAACATTTCCATCCCAATTTCCATTCACTCAAAACTATCTATCTTCACCATTTGTTCGCGGGGGGAGACCCAAATGTTCGGACCGTCTTTGAACGCCCCACGTCATCGCGGCTAAAAGGCAGCGTGCCCGCGCGCTCCGGTCTGTCCGGATGGAGAGCGGCTTCTGACACCGACGCGTCCGTGACAGGTGAGTGCGGCTCTTCTCCCGGTCTTTACTCAACTAACGCACCGAGCATTCGCACTGAAATAAGGGGGTTAAAACCCGCAGCAACGGCTGCACGTGGCTCTGACGTTTAGAAGCGTGCCGTTTTACTTTTGTTTGTTGCAGACTCGCTATTGGCGCGCGGGGCTAATTTAAGAACCGCTTTGTTGGGCTGATGGTGAAGTTCTGCACGTGAGAGATGAACGATCCACTTCCTAGCATTACGGGACAGCACCAAACCACATGCAAGGAGGTGTTAAAGTATTAAACAGTAAGAGTATTTATCGACCATAAACTCTGCAAGTACAGCAAAGCACTACAGTACTTGAGTTAATCTAACTAGTTATATTACAGTGCTGCAAATAAACATAAACCGGTAGAAAGGGAACTCATTAAACTACTTTATATACATTTGGGGTGTTAAATCAATTAAAATGCATTACGTTTAATAACCAGATTACAGACGTTTATCTGTGTGTGTGTGTGTGTGTGTGTGTGTGTGTGTGTGCGTGTGAAAAATGGCAAAATACTCTGCAAAGTACCTTGTAATAGCTGTCAAATACTGCTAATCCAGAAACAAAAGAGCCGTGGTTATCGCTGCAATGTTGGAGGCAAAAGTACAAGCAGCGTTTAATAATACGGCAGCACAGCGAGTAAATGTCACTAGTTACATTCCAGCCTCACAAACGGAGAAATGTTATTATTGTAGCCGTCATTTTAGCTTACGTGTATTACTTGCATATCGTCTATATTATAACCTGATCATAGGATTTGTGTGTCTGCAAAGAAACTACAAGATAAATATGAGTAAGAAATATGCAAATACTTTGGAAAGTGTACTTTTACTTTAAGTTACATTCCCGCACTGAAAATCAGCATCTTTAAATCATTTTGACAAAAACAATATGAGCCAAACTCATCTGTATCTTCTGGTGGGATTCAGCTCTTTTCATGATAAAAACGTTCCCTAAATGTGAATGAAGACATTCATCAACACGTCCTCTGCGTGGAACTCCGTCCCATCTGTGGACGAGAGACCACTTCAGGGACACTCGGGCGTCGCAGTGACAGCTACAGCCAGCGGATTCTGTCACAGACATGGACGTCCTGTCAATAACAAAGCCCCCCCCTCACACCTCCTCCTCCTCCTCTTCCTGTCTTGTCTACTTCAAAAAGCTTTGGTGCACACAAACACACCCACACACACCCACAAACAGACACACACAGACAGCTTTGATGGTGCTCAGCACAGAGGGGTCAGCTGGGAGGCTCGTCGGGACTTTGCCCTCATGAAAGGTCTCCCGGTGTACTTGACCTTCGTTGAATCTCCACCCGTGTGTCTGAGGGGGCCTCTGATCACCGCGGGTTGTCGCATCAGAGACAAAACCGACACGTGAAACAAAGAGCAGCAGAGCGACGCACGAGATGAATTGCAAAGCCTTCGTCTACGTGGCTGCGTGTGGAAAAGCCCCGTCAGACTTTACAACCCGAAAAAAAGATCAGCGGCTTGTTTTAACAACGACCTCTTGTGTTGGAGGCCTCGGAATCCTCTTACTGCGAAAGTACAGCTACTCGTGAGGAAGAAAGCGGCCATAGAAGGCGTAATCCCATCGGGACGTCACCACATCAGCGCAGAAGCTTTCATATTGTGCGCTGCGTCTAATTATGGGAGATTTAGTTTTGCTCTAGAAGTGCGTTAAAGAAACAAGCGCTCACGAGAATACGCCTCGTATCTGGAGATTAGATGAACCACCACAAAGAAAACTCACGAAGCAGCAGCTCCAGAGTCAGAGAGCAAGAGAAAAGAAACTAGATTACATACAAGTAACACAGCGATACACACACATGCATATATATATATATATATATATATATATATATATATATATATATATATATATATAACTACAGAAAAGCAGACATTTGTGTTCAATCTGAAAGACAAAAGTCATAAAGAGAAAATAACTGAAGAAAAAGTAAATATCTTTAATTAATTAATTAAAATATTAGGATGAACTTCTTCCCAGTTTCAACCCTCATAAATCAATCACAGAGTTAAGACACTAAAAGCTCAATAAAGCAGACAGAATCGTGCTTCTGTGAAAAGTACCACAGCCACACATTAAAAGGTTTACGTTAGCACGTAATACAAATGAAATGAAATTATGCGTTTCTAAACTCGGCCTCGGTCTACAGCTCTAAATAAATCTAATGAAACAAACCTTGAACTAAATCTGCGACCATAAACCAGCAGGCAATGTGATACAGGAAGCAACAGTCCAAAAGGTATTAATGTTGTATGCTGGTTTACATTTGCAACATTGTAAAATCAGCCATAAGATTAAATATATTTAATAGAGAAGAGTCTTTTCCATCAGGTTCGTGTTTCAACTCTTTTCTTTTCTTTATAGTCAAATGCAAACTTCACAGCGGCCGTTTTTTCTCTCGAGTGAAGCTTCACCGTGCAAAATAAATAAAAGGGGGACAGGAAGTGTGGTTACGTCGGAGGTAACTCTGCCACCGGAACTCCCTCCCGCGCCCCAACGCAGCGCCGAACAACAGGTTCAACCTGCACAGTCTGCTGGGGGGGGGGGGGGATGTGTTTTAATATCAAGCTCAGCCTGTGAGCACAACTGCCGCGCTACATCTTAAAAGATAAAGAAGTATTACGCCTTTTAAGGGACGGGCGAGTGTTGCACTTCACCACGGACGCCGCGGTCACACCGAGGGTTTACGGGAAAAGGTGACTCGCCTGTGACGATCCACGACGAGCGCCACCGATTCAGGCGCATGAGGTCGCATATTCCTCAACGCCGTTTAGTGTTTCAGCTCTATTAATAGTCGCTCCTTCTGCACCACTGGGACACACACACACACACACACACACACACACACACACACACACAGCAGGCCTCAAATATCACATCGAGCGTCAAGAAGAGACTTTGCCATCAAAGCTGCTGCAGGAGAAGCAGCGCGAGACGTTACTGCATCACACAGAGAGGTCCGATTTATTAGAGATCACTTCTTATTTTTATAGAAAGGCCCTTAAAGGTTGCGTGAAGGCTGCGGTCTACACGTCCTGAAGGTACGAGGCGTGGGGGGGGGGGGGCGGTAGTCTTCTTTGGGGCCCCTCAGACTTTTTCCATCTCTCTCTTCCTCTCACAGGTTGTTTGAATCATCAAGGGGAAGAAAGCAGCAACCCCTCCTCCCCTGCTTCCTCCCCCTCTTCTCTGGAATTAAAAGGGGGGTCCGTCGCTGCGTGCTAAAGAGGAGGAGGAGGAGACGCCAAAAGTCTCCGCGAATCCGAGACATTTCCTGGCTCGAGAAGACGCCGTCTTCGCGTGGCTCCCCTGGAGGCTTTTAACTTGGATATTTGAGGCGGGAGCGTGGGAGGCCGCGGCCATGTCTCCCTTCCTAAGGATCGGCTTCTCCAGCTTTGAGATGGACCCCGGACTGGCCTACCACGAGGAGGTGCTCAGCCCCTACTGCGCGGTTTACATGAAGGAGGCCATCGACACAGGTGGGCGCCGGCTTGTGAAAAATATGCAATGTTTATTTGATGTGAACATGACAGATGTTTTGTGGTTTAATTCTAATGATTGACGTGTTCGTAGCTGAATGACGGATACGGGAGAGGAGAGTTTATGGTTTATAAATCCGTCCCCTTCAGTCGGCAGTCATCCAGCATCACACCGTCAAACGCAGGGTTTCCACGTCAAAAAGCAATCAACCAATCGAGCATTGCCGTGCTCTACAATCAGCCAATCAACGTCAGGGGGCGGGACTGATGCTGCCGTCAGACGTTGGTGTCTAGTGACAGAATTAGGTCAGAAGAAAGAACTTATCTGAACATGAACGAACAATTGAAACTGACCTGATTTACACTCATTCGTGAAGGGCTTCTTCTCTCGTAGATGGTTTGAAGGAGAGTTGACAAAACTGTCCGTAAATAGTTTGTTTGTGGCAAATCCTTCGAAATCGAAAAATTCGGAAACGGAAAATTCGATCAGCAAAATACGCCGGTTTTGGGAAAATATAATCAACTTTTTTTATTGACAAAACGATGAATGAGGATAAATTACTGGAAAAGGGAGATACTCTTTTAAACCCAACATGGCGGACAGATGCACATGGACACACACGTGTCGCGCTGCTTCACATGACAGATTCACATGACAACATTGTGTCTCCCACGTTAATTCCATCCAGCTCATGGAAGCTTAACATTCGGCCTGTGAGCTGCGTATGTTCACCGGCTCGTTCTCAGAAACACATTAATTCCTCAGACAGTCAGAAAAAAGGATGCGATTCATGTCCCGTAAACAACGCCGCGTGTTATGAATAAATGTAGAAATGTAGAAGCAGTATTCTGTATTTCTGGGCTGTGACGCATTATGGAGCCAAAATGTGTAAAACAGAAACGTTTGACTCCAGTTTCATAATCACTTCAAAAGAAATAAGCGTACTGGTCGTGACACAGTTGTAGTACCTGCAGCTAGTAAGTGTATTTAATTTAAAGGACTTGAAAGATGTGAGCTTGTGGGAGGAAGGCTCCACATAGTCGCACATGTTTCAGCATTCACGCACAGACACGGTTGACAAAGTAAATGACACATTTCTTCAGCTCGGCAAACTTCCCGACAGACTCACAGGCGATAACTCCGCTGCATCTGGCTGCATCTGGCTATCTTTAACCGCAGGACGCAGCTAAAAACAGAGACGAGGGAAGAAAGAGGCCTCTGACGAGTCTTTTCCTCGGTGTATGCACAACGTACGAGGCCCTCGGGAGGCTGCAGGCCGCCGCTTGGTTTCGTTTCAGGAGGTTCTACTACTCGGCAGCTCACATCGAAACGCCCTCCGTATCGAGACAAACATTAACAGTAGTTGACACGGAGGAATCACATGGAATGAGTTTCGTTGGTTTCACTCGTGCTGGAGGAAGTATTCAGATCTCTAACTGACGAAAAGTTTTTAAAAAATACTCTTGTTACAAGTGAAAGTCCTTCATTCATGTTAGTTTTATTTGGCTGGCTGAGAATACAAAAAGCATATTTGAGCTTTCTTGTCCCAGATTTTATTTGCCAGCCCGGAACAGACTGGCAGAACATTTAGTAACCGGGGACTTTTTAATTGAATGAGATATAATGAGCCCACGATAATTGGGCATGTATGACGTGAAAGTAAAAGTTAAATTACAAAAATCTAAATGGGCTTAAAAAGGCAGAATGAGCAGGATTGAGAGTCGGTCCTCTGACCGGCCTCTAAGAACTGAAAGTAGAAGTACTTTCTATGTGAAATATAACTGCTGCGGATGCTTTAGAAAAATGGGGCAACTTTTTATCACTTTATGTCCTAATAGATACAAACATATATCAATGTATCGTAATATATCAGTTGGTTCAAGTCTTTTAGTCGGATTTCATTTATTTTTTAAGTGTGGTGGAATTGAAAGAACAATATTTGTCTCTGAAATGTGGTGGAGTAGAAGTATAAAGTGAAGTAAAACAACCCAAAAAGGACAGCGTTACATTCATTCAGTTAAAAAGCTGCTCAATGTAGTGTTTTTTTTTTAGCGTCACTCAGACTGGAGGCCTCGGTGCATTTATTGGGGCTATTGATCCACATTTGCCGCTGTAGTGTGTTTTTGGGGCAGCAGCACAATGAGGGGGAGCTAAAGTGAAAATAAACCACAGGGTGAGTTGAGGGTGATGCCAGGGAGAAGTTGGGCCCCGTTGATCCGTGAAGGCTTGTGTAACTGAACCTGTGCAGTTTCCTTTTTTTGTGTTAACGGAAAAAAGCAACAACTGTTAGACAGCGTTTGGAGAACAGTGGGCCATTCTTGTTCTTCCTACTAAACTTCCACATTTAGATCGTAATGAGGCGAGCGGAGTCTAGGCGCTAAACATGCGGCTCACTTTGTTTAGAGCTTTGTTCAGCGGGATTTAGAGATCAGGAGGAGCTCCAGCTGTGGCCAGTTTAACCGGAGCCGGTCTGAAAGGAACCAGCAAGAACTCGGAATTCAACATCTCGCACAAACTCCTGTTTTAAGACCCGATTAAAAGACGTTTGATATCACGCTGAGTGTGAAGAGAGGGAGAGATGTTGGACCCTCGAGTCTAAATGCCACCATGACGCCTTTTTCGCTGAGTAACACAGGAACTGGCTGACACACCGAAACATGCCTCCCACCCCTCCCACCCCTCTCACCCCTCCCATGCAAGTGGAGCCTTCTGTTGTGGGGAGAGAACGGACACATTTCCCTCTCCGGGTGCTTTAATCACAGACAGCAGCTGGCGGACTGACAGGCGACGGCCGAGGATGGAGAAAAAAAACAACGTCAAAAAATAAGAGCTTAGCTGGTTTTATTGTGGAGGCTTCTGGCTGTTATGCAAGTCCACGTGGGACGTTACCGCAGAGAGAAATCTGCAGATGTTGATTTTTCTGGTCACGTGACGCGCCAGTAAATCTCAACGATTAAACCGAACGATCTGGTGGTGAAAACGAAACGTTTATCGCCAGTGGCAACGAAGGGGGACGTGACAGGGAAGCGGACGCTTGAACTGTGCACAAGAAAACCTCATTTGAACGTAAAGTCACCGCGTTTATCTTTAAAAGAGAACATCTAATCCCTCGGGGAGGGACACACTTCAGGCTCATCCGTGGCTCACAGATTAATTCCTGCAGTTGGTCTTTTTGTCTCCGGCTGTCAAAAACCTTCCACGTCTTCTGGTCGACAGTTAAACCGTTAAATGATGCGGCCGGCGAGGTTCTGTTCTTTTACAAATCGTCAACAAATCAAACGCCCTCAAATTTCATACCTTTTATTGTCGAGCGTCAGCTGGATTATCCGTTGGGCACTGAGGGTTTAGAAATAAAAGGTGCATTTGTTGGGGACTATTTGCAGCGGCGGACTAACACACGTTTAGTGCTCTGGTGGGTCGGCAGGATGTTCTTTGAACGCCATACTGGCAAAAGACTTTAGGGGCATTAAATCACATTTCATCCACCATTTATTTATCATTTTGAGTCCTTTATAATCCCACTGTGCTTCTTTTAGTCTCATGTGACTTTTTCCATTAAGAAGATTTATCAACACACGTTGGCACTTCTGTCCCCCGAGTTCTTTCTAATAAAATGTTTATGTCTATAGATTTACATCTACAAGATACATCCAAAACATATTTGTCAAAGTTACGAGAATTCATTTTAATTTGCTGACGCACAGGATTTCTACTTCTTGAAGCGAAAATCATCCGGAGCAGCTTTCTTTTCATCTTATTTCCTGTACGCAGCAAAGTTTAATTCCCTCACACACAAAAAAAAGCCAAATTCTCTCATGTTGCTTCTCCCAGAAAAGGGCCAGGTGTACAAGCAGAAGAAGCCCACCATGTACCCGCCGTGGAGCACCACGTTCGACGCCCACATCCACCGCGGGCGCATCATGCACGTGATGGTGAAGGACCGGACGGCTGAGCTCAAGTCCGAGACCAGTGTGGCTCTGGACTCGCTGGCCACGCAGTGCAAGAAGGAGAACGGCAAGCTGGAGATCTGGGTCAGTGGAGCTGCTGGTGTGAGGGAAGCTTTATTCTGGATGAGTAGTCGTTTCTGGGAGATATTCATTAAAATTGTGAAGAATTTGGGCGAGTTGGTGTCCTCTGGGTTTTTACTGTCCCACATTGGGAGGTGGCGAGCCCTTTGACCCCCAGACAGGTCCAATTCTCTTAGTTAAATCCGGGTTCCTGCATCACTATCTTCTCTTTTTGATCTCGAGGTAATTCTCGTGAATCTCTTCCCTAAAATGCTGCTCTCTTTTGCCCTTCTGTTTCCCTTTGTGGCAGCTGGAGCTGAAGCCACAGGGACGCCTGCTGATGGAGGCCAAATACTATCTGGAGAAAAGCGGTGAGTGCTTCAAAAAGGTTTCAAAACTCCAGCTGCTGCCCTGCATCAGTTATAGCAGCTACAGTGTTGCATGTGTACAAAGTCCGGGAAACATTTAATGCTTTGGTCTTCCCCTAAACTCTAGTGGTGCGTCACTCTTTGATAATTGTCTTAAGCTGCCTATTTAATGGTCATTTTGTAACTGATATACATACCAATGTCGTAGCAGAGAGCTAAACATTTATAGAGCACGTTTTCCTTCAGCCACTCGACCCCTCCTTAAACTTTAAATGACATTCTGTGGGGAATATTGTGTCTTTTTGTGTGCCCAGTGTAAGCATCCTCAGTCTGTGTGTGTTTGAATGAGCCTTACCCCCCCACCCCCCAGTCCGCTGCGTCCCTGCGGGTCCACGTGGATCCACGTGTCCTTCGGGCGGGTTCCTTTCACTGGGGCTTTCCTGACATTGACACCACCCCAACGCCTGAGAAGTCACTCAAAACTAAAAGCTGCCCCTCGTTTCTATTTACGGAGCCAGTAAAAAGGAAATTGTTGCTCAGAACAACAGGTGGCAAAGTGGCCGCCAGTCGGGGACAATTTGCTCTGCGGAACTTCCTCCTGAACCACATTCAATTTGTACAAACACACAATAAATTCTAGAGGGCAGCAAAATATTCACTGACTGCTGAATGATTCAGCAGCATACAGAAAACTTCACGCAGAAGGTTCACGCTTACAAAACTATAACGGGGAAGATTTTCATATGAAGAATGATGAAACCATTTAAAATCAACAAAAAGTAACGTACCAGTAAAGTAAGCGATCCCAATACAAGAGGCACAGTTGTTTTTATGTCAAACCGCTAAGACTCGTACATAAAGACGGTTCCTCACTCACAAGGTGTGACTTCAAGGTGCTCGTTGTTGCAGAGCTCAGCAACAACATATCAACGTTCGTTTTTTTCTTCTTCTTAAACATTTGCACGCCGCGTTTCAGACGCTGCAGGTCAGACCGAGGGAGACCAAGAGTGCGGCCCAGAGAGAGAGGGTCTGTTCGCCCTCCACCAGCGGCGAGGGGCTATCAAACAGGCCAAGGTCCACATCGTCAAGTGTCACGAGTTCAGCGCCACGTTCTTCCCTCAACCGACCTTCTGCTCCGTCTGCAAGGAGTTTGTCTGGTGCGCAAAAAACTCCAATCTCAACTACCGAGGTCTCGTTTTCTGCGTCACCACATCGGCCATTGAACCGTTTTTTTTTTTTTATCTTCACAGGGGTCTGAACAAGCAGGGTTACCAGTGCAGACGTGAGTGTCACACTATTCCCTCGCCGACTGATGTCTTCACCAATCCCAAGCCCCCCCTTGTGTGTAACTGTGCGATCTTTGTGTCTTCTAGAGTGCAACGCGGCCATTCACAAAAAATGCATCGACAAAGTCCTCGCTAAATGCACAGGATCCGCCATCAACAGCAAGGAGACGATGGTGAGTTCTGGGATGCAGGTGGAAGACATTTGTGCACCTGAGGGTTCACTACACCGGGCGGATTTTTTTTTATCTACTGCCTCTCGTTTGGCCTCCTCGTGTAGTATGTAAAGCAAAGTAAAAAAAAAGAAATGGACAAACCTGCCACCTGCTGTTTGGGTACCGGAAGTGTTTCCGGCTTCCTTTGGGCCGAGCCTGATTCAGGCGATGAAGTCGTACGATGTGGTGTTTTGTGCCGCAGATCCACAAGGAGCGCTTCAAGATCGACATGCCCCACCGGTTCAAGGTCCACAACTACAAGAGCCCCACCTTCTGCGAACACTGCGGGACTCTGCTGTGGGGGCTCGCCAAGCAGGGACTCAAATGTGAGGGTGAGAGGCGGGAATTTATGATTTATCTGTTTTCGAGTGGATTGCAATGGCACCGCGCAGACACCCGAGGCTGTGTGTCAGATAATTAAATGCAGATGGCCGAAAAGAAGAAAAATAAAACATAAAGGAAATAAGAAGAGGACCCCTCTTCTCAAAGATCCACTTTTTCAGGGAAATGATTTCGATATAGCAAAATATGTTTTGGATATTCTATGAAACAAAAGTGCTGGGAAATCCAAGAAAATCTAAATTTAAGAATTATGATCTTAAGCTCCAGAAGACACAGGATCTTTTCTTTCCCGTGCCGCTAACGCTGAGCTTCCTGTGCAGAATGCAGCATGAACGTCCATCATAAATGCCAGAAGAAAGTAGCCAACCTCTGCGGGGTCAACCAAAAGCTGATGGCTGAAGCTCTGGCCGTCATCGAGACTAAACAGCAGGTCGAGCAATAACTCATTTAAATGTCTACATCTTGAGATAGACACCATAGATCATGTGTGTTAGCATGCCACGTACTGGTCCCACCGCACCGACGATGTTACGGTGCACTAAACGTGTGTTAGGGTCTCATGATGCCTTAAGTGGAATTTTTCCACCATTCAACAAAAACAAACCGGGGTCCTACCTTTCGCCTTCAGGCCAGAAGCAACAAAGACAGCGACTGCGAAGTCGTCGGTCGAGAAGGCCCGGTGGGCGTTGGCCAGCCAGGAGCGGAGCGGACTCCGTCGGGTTTAACAGCTGCGACGCCTGCAAACAAAGGTGCACACACCGTGAAAACCCCTCATCCCGACTCCTCGCTTCTTGTGTACATGCATGTTGATTTGTCTCCACGCTGCCGCTTCCCGACCTGCAGAGCCGCAGGGTATTTCATGGGACGGGCCGACGGGCCTCGGCGGGTCCATCCCCGAGGCGCCGACGGACGAGGAGCCCCTGTACGCCGTTCCCAAAAAGGATCACCTCCGTCCCAAGTTCACCGTCGACGACTTCGTCCTGCACAAGATGCTCGGGAAGGGCAGCTTCGGCAAGGTGCGGCAGAAGATCTGAAGAAGAAAAGACCTCACATGTGTTTGTTCATTTCAACTCTAAATGTTCTCGCCGTGTTCACAGGTGTTTTTGGCCGAGCTGAAGAAAAGCGGCGAGTTTTACGCGGTGAAGGCGCTGAAGAAGGACGTGGTGCTGATGGACGATGACGTGGAGTGCACCATGGTGGAGAGGAGGGTCCTCTCTTTGGCCTGGGAGAACCCTTTCCTCACGCACCTCCACTGCACCTTCCAGACCAAGGTAACCGCGCCGGTCTGTAGACTGTGACCCCCCCCCCCGCCACCTCCCCTCAGCAATGACCTCTCCGCCGTTTGTCCAGGAGAACCTCTTCTTTGTGATGGAGTACCTGAACGGAGGCGACCTCATGTTCCACATCCAGTTCAGCCACAAGTTTGACGTGCACAGAACCACGTAGGTACCCCGTAGAAGCAGAGCGTCTTCCTGCTGAAGGAAACATCTGCCTCAGTCCACAGTGAAATAGAACAAGCAGGAGGAAAGACTAAAGTGACCTTGCCTCCCGCTTATTTGTGACTTCCTGCAGCTTCTACGCAGCAGAAATCATCTGTGGGCTCCAGTTCCTGCACTCCAAAGGCATCATTTACAGGTAGAGTCTCTGAGCACTGAAGCAGATGATGAAGGCCAGACCTCCTGCTGACCTCCTGCTGTTCCTCCGCAGGGATCTGAAGCTGGATAACGTGCTGCTGGATTCCGAGGGTCACATTAAGATAGCAGACTTTGGCATGTGCAAGGAAAACATGCAGGACGAGTCGCGAACCGCCACCTTCTGTGGGACACCAGACTACATCGCTCCCGAGGTTGTATACTCATACAAGATTATACGATAACTGAAGCAGTTTTAGACCCATAACACAAATGTATATCTCTCATTGTATGTTTTATGCTCATTATGACCATGAGTGCCTCCCCAATATAACGCTAGGAGATACACTGCCTCTTCAAAAGGTCGTAGAATGTGACCACAGACATCCGATGTTTGACCGCGTGTTTGAACTGTGCCCGGGTCAGATCCTGCTGGGTCAGAAGTACAACAGCTCGGTGGACTGGTGGTCCTTCGGGGTCCTGCTCTACGAGATGCTGATCGGTCAATCTCCGTTCCACGGCCGCAACGAAGAGGAGCTCTTTCAATCCATACGCACGGACAACCCCGCTTACCCCCGCTGGCTCACCAGGGACGCCAAGGACATTCTGATCAAGGTCAATGTTGCGTCTGTGTGTGTTTGGATGGATGCATAAAAGGGAACTAAACTAAATCAACTTTAGAAGAAGAAATCCTGTGGCTGATATTCTGTAGCAAGAATTCAGCCAAATCCGAACCGGTATGTAATTAGCATTGAAACAAATGTCTTGTATTACTTTAAAGATATATTTAGCCATAGTTGGTACGGTGTGTAACCTCTGTTGTGTGTCTGCAGTTGTTTGTGAGGGAGCCGGAGGGCCGACTGGGAGTGAAGGGAAACATCAGACAGCACAGCTTCTTCAGCGCCACCGACTGGGCCGCCCTGGAACAACGGAAAGTGGAGCCGCCCTTCAGGCCAACTTTAGTAAGTAACTGGGTTACTACAGATGTTGAAGTCAATGAAAAATACAATCTGATAATGAACATATTAGAACACATTAGAAACTGTTAAAACAATATAGTAACTGTTGACATTCCCCCCTCTCGTAGACGTCGCCCAGTGACTGCAGTAACTTTGACAAAGAGTTCATCAACGAGAAGCCTCGGCTGTCGTGTGTCGACCGGACGCTCATCAACAGCGTCGACCAGACGATGTTCAAGAACTTCTCCTTCGTCAACCCGGGGATGGCTCGCATCGCGGCGCGCTGACCATCGACCTACTACCTGAGCCACGCGTCACAACCAGCACTTACTGTAACCGGAACAAAACTGCAGAGACTTTTGACTCAACGATAACCACTACGGAGGCGTCCTGAGTTTAAAAAGGCACATACAAACCATGCATTTTTTTAAATGATAAACTAAACAAAAAATAAAATTAATTAATAATAAAAATTCTCATTTCTTTTTTAAGTCAGCCAAATAATAAACAGTGTTTCCCCTACGTTATATATACCGTCCCTTCACGCAGGCAGTTCCACTCCTACACGTGCGAGCACATGTCCGCGTACGTGGGGTGCTCGCAGTGGACTACCCCCCCTCGCCCCCCCACAGAGAGCACCAGCAGACAGAGTACCACTACCACCCCCCCCCCCACCCCTCAGGGGAAACACTAATACATCGGGGCAGACAAAAGAAATTTCACAAAATACCTTCAGTCCATTTTAACGCCCCACATTAAATGAGTAAAATAAATAATAGCATAAATTCCATCTTAAAGTATTCAAAGATTGTTGTCATTTACACACGCCATGTGTATTGAGCCCTCTGAACTTGCCTAACTGTCATTAGAAAATGGACTTATTGTGCCTAGTATTACTTTAAGTTAATTTCTTCCAGTAAAGAGACTTTTTTTTTTACAGCAGATTACACCTCTTTTCCTACCCAATAGGATTCCACCGCTTAAAAAGTATTTTACCTCAACGATGGTGCAGTCCTTTGTTGTGTAAATATATGTGATATTGTTAGGTGGACGTTAGCAGGTTACTTGTTTACGCGTTTTCATATTGTACCTCAGGAGTTTTATTATTGCTGTAATTTAGATCAGGTACGAACATCGGCTGTTTACTGTAGTTTTTATCGTTTTCTCCATTGTGAATCACGTACAATAAAATATGTTGGGTTGTTTTTTTAGACTGCTGTGTATTTTGTTTCGGGTATCAGTCACAAAATATATCGAGAGTGGGGAGGCGAGGAGGGGAAAAAGGAGCCCACCCAGGTTTTCCACTTACAATGCCCTTTAAACTTTAAAAGAGCAAAGAAATTATTTAAAAACTCTTAAATCCTGATTATCAGTAATACCCAAAATATTTAATACAACACACATTTATTTGTGTGGCAGAGCCCTCACTTAACATCAAATGTCTTCCCATAACCTAAATATATTTACGTGTACGGTAAGTATGTCAATTAATATTTGACTAAGCGGGTTTTATAATGAGCTGCAGCTAGCGTTAGCTCGTCGTAGCGCTAACTAAAAGAGCTAACGTCACGCTAACCACATTTAAGACTTAACTGCTTTGAACCAATTTTCGGTTATTAACGTAACATTTATCCTCTCTTCTTATAGTAGTGGGAGCCTCTTGTGACTTAAACCTCTCCCCCGTCACATGTAAGTAACGTTATACGTTAGTGATTAGTGATGGTTACCTTATGCCAGCTAGCGGCTAGTTTTTTTACTTAATCTTCCGGAGGGAAAATGCCGTGAAACAAGGTAAAGTTTGACAAACACTTACCGCCATCTAAAAGACGTCTAATCAACAAGAGGAGGACAACTTGCACAAGAAGCAACAAGAAAGGAGCAGGTTCTCCTTCCAGAGCGCGCAGCCGGCTGTTAACGTAACAAAGATGGCAGCCGGAAGTGAGACGCCGGCTCGGTGCGCACTAACTTTTCTTCCCTGTTTGATGCAGGACAAATATAAATAATGAAATTGCTAAACGAGTTTTACTACATTTACGGAGAATGAGGTTTATTTTGTGTGAACGAAGCTATTATATTTTAATATAATAACTTCTCTGCCTTTTGATTTAGATTTGCCATAATAAATGTACACATTGAGCATTCACACTAATTGCATTATTGGAAATTGGTTCCTCGTGTTCAAGCCAAGTTACAAGGGGGCATCAAACATTTTAGGATTCCGAACGTTTTGGGGAAAAACTGTTTATTATTTTCCATTCACAGAAATTCTTAGGTATCAATTGTTTGCAAGTTAGTTTTCAATACTCTGCATTAAACGACTTGATGGCTATTGTGTTATCTCATAGAAAAAAAAGGAACTTCACAATGTTGCCGCCTATATGACTCCAGAAGGAAGCCGGTCAGTCTCTTCACAATTCACTCCAGGGAGAACTATTTCTAGCTTTTTAACATCTGACATAGTTCACATCTGACCTCTTATCATTTGTGTCAGCATGTGTCCTTTATAGTACAGGAAAACCTGCATAGGCAACTGTAAAGGGCTGGACGCTGTTAAGTGCTGTGTGTTCCTTAGCTGTATAACATCAATGCGGCATAAACAAAACATGAGCTTTCCTCAAGAATGAATAGTCGACGAGTCTATTATGGCTTGAGAATTTCAGGAGGAGCCTTTTATCAAGTTAACCACGATCTTCACATGTCAACATCAATGCACTACAACTTTCAAGCTTCTTTGAATAAGATGTGGGTTATTTTATCAATATGCATGAGGCAAGGCGGCGTAGTCAGTCACAATTCACCGGCTCCCCGTGACGCCCGCGGCGCTACTGCGGTTGAGGTTGCGGCTGAGCTGCGGGAAGTGTACTGTGGGTGTCCTGGACGTGGGGCCGTAGAGGCCGAGATTTCGGGCTGCCGCCGATCTCCGGGGCTGCTTCACGCTGGGAAACGGGGAGAAGATGGGCTGCTTGTGAGCAACGGTGGATGACAACGCCGGGGTCGACGGGGAGGAGGATAAATGTGATCCGGATGAGGAGGCGATAGAGGACAGTGAGGGGGTGGAGGGTGAGGATGTTTTGTAAAAGGTGGAGGGGCAAGGAGTGCGAGAGGAGAGGCGGGGGGTGGAGTTAAGCGTCGGGGTGGAGGGAGGGGTTGGAGTGGAGGAGCCGGATGGGCCGAGAGAAGCCAACGTGGGGACCGGAGAGGGGGACGGAGTGGAGTTGACGGAGTGCTGAGGTGGAGGTAAAGTGGTGGAGGGAAAGTGTCCGGCGGTGCTTCTTTCGGAACCTGAGGAATCGGACTCTCTGTGTCTGTTGGAGGACGGAGGGGGGGGGAGAAGAAGAGGGACTCGGCGCGCAGGTTTAGACTCTGCTCGTGCATCTTGGCTGATGGAGGAGGTCAGACTAGAAGCGTCCTCCAGATCCAGAGAGTCCAGTTGCACCACCACCTCTGCAACCTCTGCTGTGTCATTTTCCACCTGTGGATCCTCCTCCAATGACCCTTCACTAAACAAAACGGGAGGTGAAGGGTCACTGCCTTCTTTCGGCTCCTCCTCATCCCGCTCGTTTTCCTCAATCTTTATCTCCTCTTCACCCTCAAAACTTCCTTCCTCCTTCCCGTCCTCCTCCTCTCCCTCATGCCCTTCCCTTTCCTCTGAATCTCCAAAGCCCAGCTGTGCTCGGGCTCTGGCTATATTCCGTCGATGAACGCGGACGTGAGCTCGCCACGGCGACCCCGCGCCTCCTCCCAAGCTCCCCGGAGAGCCGGTGCTGCTGGAGAGCAGCGAGCCACAGCGCTGCAGGGCCGGAGAGCCCTGACTCTGGGACAGAGACGGCAGTGGGGATGCGGGTGTGGAGCCCCGGGGGTCCGCGCGTTGTTTCCGACCCAGGAGGAGGTGGTTGATTACAGCGCCGGACGGGTTGAGTTGGGAGGGCAAGACACGGGTGGCCGGACACTTGTCTGGGGGGGGGGGGGAGACAGACAAAGAGTCAAATGAAAACAGGAGTTTCGTGAGAAGCTGCTAACAGCTCCTCCGCCAGACACCAGAGGGCGCCCAAGATCATATAGTATCTACAGCAATATACTGTATTTTTATGTTTTTTCCACTTGACACGAACACGTTTATAATAGCTGATTAGTGCTCAGATGTTTCAATTTGAAGGAGGAAAAAACAAATCGTAATATTGTTAAACAAAGTCGTATGTTGATCGTAAGAGGAGAGGAAAAATGGGGAAGAGGCTGCAAATCAAAGTTATTGATAGAAATTCACCCCAAACCTGATGTATACAGCTGAAAAGGGTTAGTTGCAAAGATAAAGTATAATTGGAGACATCTGTCACTTATGAAAATTCTTCAGCATTTTGTTGAAAGGAATACGATTACATTTTATATATATAATAAAATAGAGTGCAAAAATGTAGCTCAGGACAGTACCTCAAAATGATACCCAAGTACAGTAAAAGTAGTTGCCTTCCACCACAGCTATACAGTAAAATGTTCTGTCTATTTAACAAAAGTGTGCCTCTGATGGACCTCCTGTTGTGTAAAGTAGTGACAGGTGACTCCAAATATATAACTGGCATAAAACTGCTGTATGGAATAAAACACCTGCAAATCTCTCGTATTCCCTCCATGTTTCTAAACATAAATAGAGCAGAAGGATGTAGCATCGGATTCCCAAATGCCCTCAAAATGCCTTCAGACTCTAAAGCACAGCTGTCAATGGACAACTCAAAGAGATGCAAACCACACCGTCACGTTTTAAAAGTTACTATTTAAAAGCGTTTGCGCGAGACACTGAAGCCACACGTTATTAATTCATAAAATGAATCATCCGTGTTTGCATCATGCTGCATTTTGAGAGCATTATGGGGGACCGAGAGGGTTTATAGAGTTAGTCAGAGAGAGTTTATAATTATACAACCTGGAGATGATTTAGTATTCCTCAGCCAGTGGTTCCCTTTACCACATTTCCAATAGTTGTTTTTTATCAAGATGAAGAGAAAACTCTTAAGAGTTAAAACAAGAGTTCGTGCACCTGTTTAAATTTCAACCGTTACAATAATAGTAATTTATTTAAACTATTTTATTAAATCATAGAGTATTTTCTTTATTTATCCAATAAAAGAGAAAATTGGAAATTGGTCTCAGGGAACCCATCCTCCTCATACTGTTTAATTAATCAGTGAATCATTAAACGAGCCCCACAACACCCGGTTTCCAGCCGACCCTGTGGTCCGACGGCAGTACCGTCGCTGTGCTGGTCGGGGCCGTCGCCGCGGTGCTCCTGGAGAACCCCTGGCTTTGTGGCCCCTTCGGGTCCAGGTCCTACGAGTCACACGTCATCATCAGAAAAAGAAATTAATAGAAACATCGATCCTTGTGCTGCGTGCGCGTGTTCCTGTCCTTGTACCCGACGGAGCCTCATCATCATGGTTAATAATACACATCTCTAAACTAAAGCACTTACTTTGTTCTGAAATAAGAAATGTTTATCTGTTAATAAGCAATAAATCCCTCAATCACCTGCAAAGAAGAGATGTAACGTTAGTCAAGTGAGATTTGACTCCTCTTCCCACCTGTGCGTATGTAGAGCTGCATCGCCTGCTGCTGCTGCCTCCTTTTGATGCGCGTATATTGCTTCTTCAGGGCGTAGATGTCGGTGCTCATCCGCTCCATCATCATGCTGTTGATTGCTGCTTGATGCTCTGCCTTTGCAAACCTTTTCCTCCTCCTCCTGCTGCTCCACCCACCGCTCCTGTGCTCAGCTCGGAGATGTTCCCCTGCTCTCCTTGCTGGTCTGGAGAGAGAGATGGAAAGAAACACTGACATCAAACTCTTTTCTGCATTACTTATTTTACAACGGAGATATTTAGCATTTACAGTAAGAGGAAAAAAAGAAAGAAATAAAGACATTCAAAGATCAATGTCAAGGGCTTTGGAAAAAAGCAGAAGGAAACATTCCAAGAAAATACACAAATCAGGAAAAATCCAATGCGCCTTTTAAGCTCCTTTTCTTACTAATCACCCGTTTTGTCTCTTTCGCCCCGTTTAATCAAGATCAGCTGAGACCAAGCTCAGCGCCCCCTGAAGAAATCTAATCCATCCAAGACCAAGTAAAGATTTACTTTGGTTCTGTTTGACATTTACTTCCTTGAATGACTGTTTTCTTTCCAGTTCCAAAAGGTCAGAAGTTATTTATTTATTTAAAATCACACTTCACAGAAGCTTTTTGGAAGGTGCCCTTTGGAAGCCTTGGTTTGTTTGCACAAACTGGGGATTTAATAATGCTTAACCTCTACTTTAAACCGGGTCAAAACAGTGGTACTGAGATGCTACGAGGTTCAAACAGTTATCTCTCTGGAGGGTGACGAGTACTTCACGTCGCAACCAATGTTTTTAATTAAGTCCCTGAAACTGTTTTCCAATTTGTTTCATCTTTGGAGTTGAAGGACGAAGGGATTTATCTGGAGGAAACAGACAGACACAGTTGGTAGGGATTTGGGGTTTGTGCCCCCCCCCCCACTCCTCCTCCTCAACTGGCTACCAATGAAACCCGAGTCCTCACTTCAGCTGGTTGCACTGACCTTTGAGATGTTTGTGGTACCTCTGCAGCTCCGGGGCCAGAAGGCCCCCCAGGGGACCCAGGCAACCGAGCGCCGTCACCATGGAGTCCTCATCGTCCATGTCGGCATCATCGTCGCTCTCCCAGCTGCCCAGAATGCCACTGGAACAACATCATCATCATCACAGCTGCTACACACACACACACACACACACACACACACGTAGACTACACAAACGTTGGCTTAAATAAAGGCTGCGATTAAGTCGGAGGCAGTTAGAGTGCCAACCTTTCCAGTGGAATTTGACGGCGCTGGGGAACGGGGTGATGTTGTAGTGTACTTCTCTCTCAGCTCCGCCAGTTGCGGGAAAGGAAACACTGCCATGGAGTAGACCTCCTGTAAATATGAGGTTAACAGTGAACGCCTTAGTTTAAAAACATCAGCGGAGAGGTCCAAGAGGCGTGAGCGGCCTCGTTCACCTGCATGAGTTCAGGAGGATCGATGAGGTCGTGCTCCAGCATCTCCTGAGTGAGGCAACCCATCGTGCTGTAAAACTCGTCCGCCGTGTGACAGTACTCGATCCTCCTGGACGGAGACGAGGAAGACGAGCAGCGTTTTCATGAGATGAGAAGGTGGAGACGGGAGACGAGGAAGAGATGCAATTTATATGATTTAACCTTTTTTTTTTTTTTTTTTTTTTTTTTTTTTTTTAAATCAACAGAAGTCAAGCCCCTTTGTTTCTGTGATGGTCCACTCACTCTCCCAGTCTCTCCCAGATGGCGAGGGCGACGCGAAACACCACCTCCGAACCCTCGAAGAAGACCGAGTCCCAGATCTTCAGCACGGTGGGCGCCGGCAGGCAGGTGGCGAACATGGTGAGGAACCACTGCATAGTGAACACGTTGGTCAGCGGAGGCTCGTAGCTGCCTGAGAGGAGACAGACGCAAGTTATTTCTACACCAACATTAAGGATTTATGGGCCGTGTTACAGTATAACATGAGTTAAAGCTTGTAAGCAAATATTTACATATTAGAATAAATATTATAATAATCACAACACAGATCTGTACCTCCGGCCTCTCTGTTGGCAGCTTTCTGAAGGTGGTGGAGGTGCTGGGACAGTCGGGGCAGCTTCAGGCGCAGCAGGTCTCTGAACACCGCCATGTCCACTGACAGAAGGAGACGGATTACAACGTGAAGAAACACAACACAATCCGGATATTTCAAGAGAAAACCTTGGATGCTCAGCACGTTTCATAACGTCATTTCACTTAAACGCTGAAAATGTTTTCAAATAAAGACTTTAACAGTCTTTGCTACATAATAAAATGAATAATTGTGAGAAAAATCTCCACCTCAATTTCCCTGAGATGAAGTATTTTAACAATTATTAATTATCAGAGTTGAATATTCATATTTGTATCACTAGATCAGCAGAGATCTTTGACCTCCTGAGTACGACGTAGTCCGCTGAAAGTTTGCGCTAATCTTTTTCCGGATGGTCTTCAGCTTCTGAATGAATCATCCGGTTGTGTGTCACTGTGTTTACCTGACAATGCTCGCAGGTTATTGGCAAAATAACTCTCGGGCAGCACTTTGTCAATCAGATAGATCATCACCTGAACACAGAAGAGAAAAAGACCCTTAATAGCTCTTTAAAAACAGTCAGAAAAAAACATAGAAACTCCACCAGTGTGTCACATCAAATTACCAGAAGATTCTCTCCCTTTTATTGCAGTTTGACTTTATTTTTGAGCATATGGTCACATACTATGACTCTGCATGTCAATGCTCTGTGTGTGTGTGTGTGTGTGTGTGTGTGTGTGTGTGTGTGTGTGTGTGTGTGTGTGTGTGTGTGTGTGTGTGTGTGTGTGTGTGTGTGTGTGTGTGTGTGTGTGTGTGTGTGTGTGTGTGTGCGCGCGTGTGTGTGCGCGCGCGTTTACCTTTAGTGCGTCGCTCTCGTGTCCCTCCGTCACCTCCAGAATGAGCGCAGCCAGGACGTTGAATCCCTGGCAGTAGCCCACACTCTTATTCCAGCGGGCGTACGCCAGCAGCACCCTCTTCAGCACCACCCTGTCCTGCTCCGCCTCTTGGCCGCAGTAGGAGCTGCAGCCCGTCCTGTGCAGGTCCTGGATGAGATAAAGTAGAACTTCCTTAATCCCACGGGGGGAAATTCTTGTGTTGGGATTCAACAGAAAAATCGGAAGGAACTATAAAACTGCAGCCAGCTTGGATTATTGTATTCTAAAGCTGTGCATGTGGTGGATTTATTCAAACTAAAGAGTGGTTTCTAGCATTCAGGAGACAGTGAAGTAGATTATCAGACTTTGCCCTGTTGATGGAAACTCGGCGGACTTTGGTGAGTCACTGAGGAACAGAAAAGAGCAGCAGCGTTTCCATGATGCTGCCTGACGCACAGAGCCAAGCAAACATCCTCAACCGGACACCGCTCTTCATTAGTGGGATGTGCGTGCACACACACACACACACACACACACACACACACACACACACACAGACTTATTTTGTGTGTCGCTCTTTGATGTAAATCATCATCACTGCCTGAAGATCAAACTGTTCAGACCCTCAGAGCGTCTTTGCAAACACTTTCAAAAGCACATATTACCTAAAACCAGGTACAGCACATTTCTACACTAAGTCACAATACTAAGCACCAGAAGACGCTAAACCCCCCCGAAGTAACAGAATCAACGTGGTTACCTTGACGATTTGGATGCCGAGGGAGTCATCGTCCGGGTTGCTGCGCTCGTTGAAGGCGAAGCGGAGCGTCTTGTCCCAGTCGATGGAGATATTGTGGAGGTACTGGTCAGCTAGCGTTAGCCAAACCTACAGAGAGACACCGGTTATTCAACGGTCGTGTTATTTAAAGATATTTAAACCTTCCATTATGTTCTCGGGTTTCAGCGTTAAAAGGCTTCTTGTTCACTCACTCATCTTGTTTAGAAAGTTCAGGAAAGAAGAGAGGATTTTATTGTTCATCTCCGCTGGCAAGATGAAAATAATCACTCCCTCTTTCCCTCTCTGTCCTCCCGAGAGATGAAGTTATGACGGGAGATGAATGAAGCATTGCAGACAAAGAGCCTTACCCTCTTCCTCCATTCCTTCGGTATCCCAGTGGGGAGTCTGGCCACTGCTTTAAGGGCGTCGTACCACTGTGGGGAAGAATCACGGTTTTATTCGCTCTTGTAATACTCCATGATTAGCGGTCTTTGAGAGGACACAACATTACTTCTGACCTGCTGGAATCCATTCTTCCCCAGCGAGGGTTCGATGGTAAACTTCAGCCTCGTGTCAACTCCTGCAAAACAAACAGACACCCTGTCAGACGGCAAACTGATGAGGGCGATGTTTAAACATCCCAAAGTCACTGACTGATACACAATGACCAGATAATGTGACTATACCCAAGTGGCAATGACAAGGCATGACTACATACTAAATAAATATATGACTCAGAGTTCATTTTAACCGCCTCAATATAAAATATCATTTGTATTTTTATTGCAATCAAATTGATTTTTTAAAAGCTTTTGATTTCATTGACTTTAGTGAGCTTGTTCCACATTGTTGGAGTTGAAACAGCAAAATTATAATTGACCTAAGCTTGTATCCTTTCACTCTTATAGGTTAAACAATCATCTAAACTCGAGTCAAGAACCAAGACGGATTGAGACGGATCAAACTGATTTATCTCCACCAGACGAGGAGGTCTGAGTTGATGGCGACGCGGAAGAGGCGCTGTCCGGTCCGCGTGGTGCTGAATCCGCTCCAGCGGCCAATGGAGGCGGATCTCCCCGCACAGAGAGCGACGGATTGAACGCAACGAAGCCCTCCAGAATCCAGACGGAAACTAAACTTTGATCTGAAGTTAAGAGGAGAAGGTCCCGACGTGCAGCGGCCATTCCCCTCCCCCTCTCCCCCCCTTCCTCCCCCAGAGCGATCCGTCTCTCTAACACAACAAGTAAAAACAACACAGTTCCCACATCAACGGAGGCCCCCTCACGAGGAGACGAACACGTGTGTGTGTGTGTGTGTGTGTGTCGGGGGTCGGGGGGTTTAAACCTGCTCGGTCCTCCTCTGTCGTTACTTCCTGCGCCATTCGGTGCGTCGCTTTATTCCTCTCGCCGCTTTGGGGGAGGATGAAGCAGGAGATCCCTCCCACTTCCCTCCCACGGATTACGCGTGTTAGACTAGTGAGGTCCAGAGCTTAATCTCTCCACACGGGAATTAATTGAAATGAATAGGAGGGAGGAGACTGGAAAGGTAGTGAGGTAACAGAAGGAGTGGAAGGAAATCTAATCAATTAATGATTAAATGTCAAGTGTTAACAAGGTTATGAACTCAAAAAAGGATTACAAAATGTAAAAGCTGTTGGGCAGATAACCAGAAGAATATCTTGGGAAATTATGGATTTTTTTTACTGTTGTTGGTCCTTTAAGCCCCTTAAATGTCACAGAGCATTAAATATGAGACCTGCCCTCCATTCCCCCCCCCGTCCCTTTCTCTACTAATGAAGACGAACTGTTTTCGATTATTTGATTATTCTAAAAGCTCTAATTGTGCACTTTGCACAATTCTGTTCTGCATTCAAAAAGAAAAGCGATGCCTGCAAACAATATAAATAATTGATTTCTGCACCACGAGGTGTCCCGAAGACACGTCTACACGTCTATTTGTTTTATGAGCTCATCTGAAGGGCTCTGTCGCGTACAAATGGATCAAAAGCATCACGATAACGTCTACAAGCAAAATAATTATTTACCTGCTGACAATTTCAACAGTTTATATTAATCTAAAATGTCATTGTCAAGAGCAAAGCTGTACGATGGCTTGATATACAAATATAATCTAATTTGCTTAAATATGACAACCCCCCCCCCCCCCCCCCGAAACGACCCGTCTACGCGTCACCTGGTTCCAAGGTGCAGGACAGCCGCGGCGCGCTCCTGGAGATGCCGTTCCGTTTTCTCAGGACGTTGCTGATGATGTTACCGACCCCTCCCGATCCCTGCCCCCGCTGCCACGCGCCCCCCCTCGGGCTCTGGGCGGTCGCGCCGAGGCGCTCTTTTTCTCATTGGGGAATCGAACCGGTCAACCGATCGATCGATCATCGTCGTCGTCTTCTTCTTCTGCCCCCCGCGTTAATTACCCTTCTTTCACGCCCGTCCGCGTCGATCGGGAAACGCACCCCCCACAGAGCAGCTGTGTCAATTTGATTCAATTACACAGATTCCAATGACGGCTCGTGTCTTTCCTCCTTCGAGCATCCAGCGGGTGAAGCAGGATTTACAAAGACGAGCGGAGGCGCATCCGGTTTCTGCAGCTTGCGCTCGGTTCAGTGCTGCTGATGCTGCACACCGCCTCCTCCTCCTCCTCCTCCTCGCGTCACCAGGAGGAGGAGATAGGAGCGGTATGAGGTAATGGTGGTTTGGGAGGAGGGGGTCTGAACCCATGAAGTGGCCGGCCAGCGAACAAGTAAACTCCATCCAGAAATGTTGAATTTTTAACACAAGCTACTGAATAATACACGTCTCCTACAGATGTGTTTTATTAAGAATAAAGATTCTCCTCCTAAAGTGTTTTGGTTCGAGGGCTCCACCAGCTGCCGTTTCACACTCCATCTCTGATCTTTATTTTTTTAACCCCACAGACTAAAGTCCCCCTGCAAGATTTAAACGCTGTTTCTGCCTCGTCACCTCAAACAAAATGGAGAGCGTGAAAGAAACGAGGTGCCGGAGTGATTCAGCCTCACAGAATCAATACAAACAGCCTGATGATGATGTTACATAACCAGCATTATTACAGATTCCTTCAATAGATAATAATCAATAATATTAATCAGTCAGTGAAAATTTCAATAAAAAAACAGAAAAAAATAGCGGCGTCAATATCTTCCATAACATGAATCAAATAAGTGCACTACTTTCTATTAAAGGCTTAGTTCGGATGTTTTAAAGTGGGGCCTAATGAGGTACATGTACATCCACAGGATGGAGAAGCACGGGGGATTTAAGCAGTGAACCACCTCAGCACAACACATCTTTAATTATGTCCAACTGTTAAAATCAAGAACAAAAACTGAATCCATTGTGTGCCTTCATGTCAGTTATTTGACTCCTCAGAAAGTGCGTTTATTGAAATTAAATGATCCAGAGCCTATTGTTATTCTCCAATAAGAGCAAAATACTTAATCTCACATATTGAGGCTTAATCCATAATCTCTTCGCTGGAAAAATGGCCTTTGTAAACGAGTTTCTAGACATCTGTGACATATGAATTGAATACATTTTAAGAAAATGAACATACGACAGTCACATGCTCTGACTCTGTGTCGCAGTGCATCATGTAAATGTGAGGGATATTTTTTAACCCCGTCAGCAGTAAAGGAAGAACCCTGTTCAGCAGTAAAGGAAGAACCTGTTCAGCACTAAGGGAAGAACCCTGTTCAGCAGTAAAGGAAGAACCCTGTTCAGCACTAAAGGAAGAACCCTGTTCAGCACTAAGGGAAGAACCCTGTTCAGCACTAAGGGAAGAACCCTGTTCAGCACTAAGGGAAGAACCCTGTTCAGCGCTAAAGGAAGAACCCTGTTCAGCACTAAGGTAAGAACCCTGTTCAGCACTAAGGGAAGAACCCTGTTCAGCGCTAAAGGAAGAACCCGTTCAGCGCTAAGGTAAGAACCCTGTTCAGCACTAAGGGAAGAACCCTGTTCAGCACTAAAGGAAGAACCCTGTTCAGCACTAAGGGAAGAACCCTGTTCAGCACTAAAGGAAGAACCCTGTTCAGCACTAAGGGAAGAACCCTGTTCAGCACTAAAGGAAGAACCCTGTTCAGTGCTAAGGGAAGAACCCTGTTCAGCACTAAAGGAAGAACCCTGTTCAGCAGTAAGGGAAGAACATTGTCTGTTCTTACGTCGTTTCTGCGAGACGGCCTGGAGGCACGCGGTGATGATGTCGTAGCTCCTTTGCAGTTTGTGGCAGAGTCGGTCGCGTCTCCTCAGCTGGCGAAGCAGCTTGGTGGACTGCAGGCTCGTACGATATTTGACCTCCTGGATGATCGAGTGCAGCTCCGCCGGGGCTGAAAAGGCAAAAAGAGACAGGCAAACACATAAATATAAATGATGAAAAGCTCTCCCCCCGGAAAGAAATAATAATATAAATGTCAGACTTTCTCAGCAGGACATATAGACATCTCTCATTTGTTGAGTTGTATCTTCTCTCTTACATTGAATATTGTCCAAGGAGGAAGATCTTAAAGTTTTTTGCTTCAGAATCACAGCATTTATTCAGCTCTGTCTGAATATGATGTCTTCTAAATAAAGCTGCTTAATATAGTTTGTAATAACATGTGATGTCTGCCCTTAATTGGTCCGTTTTCCAGGCTGCAGGCAAAGATGAAATGAAAACCAGAACACTGCCCTCCTCCCCGTCTATGGAGGAATCAGTGAAGGGGACTCGCATCTGTGGCACAGTTAATCTTTGATTCTTCTCAATGTTGAGGTCAAATTATGCAAAAACATGATTCTATGCTACTAAATACAGAAAGATTCATACAAATCTGCCCCAAAAACAAAATCACTTTGCATGCGTCATCACTTTGAATCTCAAGACTAAGCAATTAATTAAAAAGTAGTGATGGAAAACCCTTAAAAAATGATACATAACCAATTTCCTGAGGTTGCCCTCGTGTAATCATGTTTCTACCAGGAGGTCAAATGTCATAATCACCTGCTGACAATGCCCAGGAGGGGGCAGGGTCGGCTTGGAGCAGGAAGAACTTCCAATGTCCCCCTGCAGACACGTCCCCACGTTTAATCCCAGACTAAACACACACTTCAGCTGCTCCGTGAGGCACGATCGGAGTGCTTCCTCTTCCTGAGTGGCAGCCCTCTGCGTTGTTTAACTAGGCCGAGCCCTCACGTGTGTGTGAGTGTGTGTCTATGTGTGTCTGTGCAGAGGGCAAACACTGCGTTTACTGTGGGATTCCACTCCTCCAGAGGAAACAATGGCAGCGTGGCGTTCACAGCAGCATGCCTTCCAAAGCTCCGAGGCAACGCCGCACAGAGGAGCAGCCAACGGGCCGCCGACACCTCTGTGTCAGTGTGTGTGTGTGTGTGTGTGTGTGTGTGTGTGTGTGTGTGTGTGTGGAGGTCTGCGTGGCAGGACGACACCTGTGGCTTCTCATAGATAATCAAAACATCCACGAAAAGGGCAAATAATATAATGAGCTAATAAAAACATATCAATGTGCTGGTTGAATCAGATCTGTTGTCCCTCTTTAACTCATAAAGTGTTTTCTTTTAGGTTGGGTTGTTGTTTCAGAATGATGAAGACAGATACAAAACAGGACTACAGGGTGATATCTTTGTCCTTGGCCACAATGACTTTACCCGCATAATGATGTTCAGATTTTGAGGCATTCTATTATCTCAAAAGGCTGAAGAAATAGTGCATGGCAGCTGTAAACAGCCCACAGAACCCAGTGGGTTTGTGCAGAACTCCACTTCTGATCAGCCCTAAATAAGATGGGTAAAAACATGCAATGAAGAGCTGCACATTTAAACCGCTTTTATTTGCATTAATACTTGTCCCTTGCAATAATCCCTGCAAAAATGTATACGTGTGTGTTAACGGTGTTTGAGTGTTCCCTCATTTGAGAGTCTGGAGGGTGTTTGTTTGTTGTGCAGATAGTGTCGTGAAGCCCTTTAAGGACAGTGCGTGATGTAACCTCATGTGAATACATATTAATAAGACATATAAAACCCACCGAGGAGAAACTGTGCGTGTCGACGCACCTGACCACAAACAGCCGCCAACGCCTGCACAGCCCTCACCTTTCTGGGCCAGGTAGTTCATCTGATGCCTCCTGGTGTGCTTCTCCTGGAGCTCCTGGAGGAAGCCGGACCCGGAGTTGCTGCGGCCCAGGAAGGCGTCCGAGCCGGACGCCTCGGTGGAGCTGTCCCAGCTGTCCCGGTTCCTCCTGCCGCCTCCACCGCACGTCTCATAAAGCTCCACCAGCAGACAGTCCACGATGGAGGACCTCTGCGATTTGACTCCATCCCCCGGGCACCCGGAGTCACGGTCCCCGGCCGCGCCGGCCCGCGGGGCTCCGGGTTGGCCGGCGGGGACCTGCTGCCGCCGTCCCGGAGGCGATGACGATGCGCCATCCGGTGACTCGGCGGGTCTCGTCCACTGGTGGAACCCGGAGAAGTCGTCCTGCGGGGAGGCGGCGGAGTTGACGAAAACGCCGCTCTCGTCCCCGGAGTACACGCCGGCGTCGCATATGTCAACTTCCAAAAGTTCGCCCCCGTTTAATTTCACCTCAGACGCCATGTTTTATTTGACGGTTATTGGACTGTAAGTAGTTGTTGCTTTAATCTCTCCGAAAAGTTGTCATTTTTCCAGACAACACGAAAGTTGGAAAGTTTAGTTTGAGCGTCTCTATGAGGAGAGTTCCTGGACCATTCCATTCCTCGCGTCCATAAAGGTAGAATCCCGCTTGACAGCTTTTAGTTCCCCCCCCCCGAACGCTGCGGTCTCTACTTCCCTGCCCCCCACTCACCCCCCTCCGCAGGCTGAACAATGGGCCGGCCCACTTCATGCATTTCTCAACGGCTGTCAAACTTTCGCCAGGTCGCGCGACAGGTGGCTGCGGATCGACCAATCACGAAGGAGACAAAACTTAGGCGACCAATCAGCTCTGGTTTTGGTGCCGGCAGGTTGTTTTCTTAGTGTGCACGATTTAATGTAGGACATATCGTAAATATGACGACAAATTCGCACTTTTAAGCTCACGGAAGATAATATTTCCCATTTACGGCACGTCTTGTTCATATATTTCTGCTTTTATCTCCAGTTAAATGTGTCGTTTAGCATTAGTGGCTGTTAACACGTTGAAAAGCAAGAAGCAGTGGGGGAAGAATTCCTCAGACATTCTCTATGGCTCTCTTACTTTAATTAAATAAATATCAAACACATAAACATACCAATGATCAAACACAAGTTGTTGGCCACATTATCTGCTCAGAGATGCTTTTTGGAACGATGACAGTAACGATCCTTGATTCCTTAAATAAAATATTTAATCTCACACAATATCATTACTACTTATACTTTTTAGTCGTTTGCTATTTTTAATGTATTTTCGGACTGGCAACAAAGGGGTAAAGTGGAGCAATGCCGAACGAGAAGCGAACATGTTTACAGGGGAAACAGTTATTTTTACTCATTAGTCATCGTGTCACGTCTTCAAATCAGCTGGTCCGGGCTTCCGTAGCCGAGAAGCACATGACCCGGAAATAAGGAAGTGTATCTCAAACAGAAACTGGGCCGTGTCGGTCTTGTTGTTTTCTCTCCGCCTCTCCCTCTTTTTCTCCCTCGCTCTCCGTTTCACACTCGCACAAGAAGCGGAGCTGAAGGAGGAGACGCGCCGCTTCGATAGTTTGTCACTGTCGTAAACAAAATGGGTTCGAATCGCTCGTTTCTGCCGATTTTATCGCGTTGTCTCCTAATCTGCGTCACTTTGTGGAGCGAGCCGAGCAGCGGGCTGTCATCCAAATCCCCCCGGAGACCGAACATCGTTTTGATCCTCACCGATGACCTGGACATCGCGCTCGGGGGACTGGTGAGAGAATCCGGGCATTCTTCAAATATCTGTTTAAATTGACGTTAACAGTTGGTCTTGATTGCCGCCTCTGAGTCAGCAGCTTTTATAAATTGAGTTAAATCTGCTCCCACATCTTTCTGCAGACCTTCTCTGCAATTTAAAATACTGTGATCCTTACCTTAAAGATTGAAAAGGCTGTCGATCTACACTTGTAGCTTAGAATATATATTTATACTTTCATAACAAGCAGGGAAGGCTGACAACGAGTTATGTGCAATCCTATATTTGAATTACTATTATACATATATATATTTATGCCCAAATCAAGTTTAAAATATTACGTTTTTTACATAACTGTTGTTGCTTATTTTAGCTGCTTTCTTTTAGTTTTGTTGGTATTGTTGTTTTCACTGTCATTCATCACTTCCCGTTTCTGCTCTTTTTAAAACCTTTTACCTGCTGCCAGCTACACCACAACAGACTTGGCATGTTGTCTCCATCCAGCGGATCTCTCTGGTTGAATAAAGGAAGAAACTTGTGTTTATGACAAAGCATTGAAATCCACGTTGTGTAGTGCAGTGGGTTGTCTCTTCTTAAGGAGCTCAGTCACGCTGCAGCTTCGTCTCACTGTGGGTGTGTGTGCGTTACTTAGACCACGTTTTGGCTCGGTGAAATATTAAAAGGCGTCATTCATATAGAACATGTGAACATTACAATAAAAAGTACATCAAAACAAGTATGTAATTAAAATGTGGAAAGGGGAGCTTGTGAGTGTTTGAGTTCGGAGGCCAGTTATTCGTCTCCTCACAGTTGATCTTTTCTCCCCAGACTCCACTCCCCAAGACGAGGAAGCTTATCGGCGATGCGGGGATGTCGTTCTCCAACGCAGTGAGTATCCCCGCGACTTCCTGCCTCGTCACGCGTTTGGCTGCAGATGTTCATCCTCTGCACGCCTTCTCGCCTCTGCAGTTCGTCGCCAGCCCGCTGTGCTGCCCGAGTCGGGCCAGCATCCTGACGGGGAAATACCCGCACAACCACCACGTCATCAACAACACGCTGGAGGGGAACTGCAGCAGCAAAGCCTGGCAGAAGAGCGAGGAGGCCGGCACCTTCCCCGCCCTGCTGAGGACGCGCGCCGGCTACCAGACCTTCTTCGCTGGGAAATACCTCAACCAGGTGATGGAGTTCAACCGCTTTATAGACAATGCACCACTCATTTGTCGCTGTCTAAAAGAGTTGATGCTTTCGTGAGTACCACCGGGAACCGAAAGTGGCCTTCCGGTGATCGTCAATAGTCAGTCACAAGATCTACTGTCATGCGTTAATTAAGTCGTGATAAAGTCCAAGTCTGGATTGCATCGCCCCTTGTGATAAACAGATGGGCGAATGGGGAACCGGGACAAGCTCGTCGCCTAAACGGCAAACAGATGACACTTAACCCTGTTTGTTAACTTCCCCTCCCTCTCTGTAGCTGGCTCCCCCCCCTTGTGACCCCCGTGGTCACAGGTTAGCAAACGCCTCCCACTCTGCAGACTGAAAACACAATCAAAAAGAGGCTGGTGGACGTTTTTAAACACAACATCCAGGCAGCATATATAAGAACTTATTGCATTCAAGGGGCGATTCAAGCTGTGATCAGTTGGATGTTGGGCGGTGGGGGAACGTCATCAACAAAGCCGACTGGTCTCTTTCTAGTTTTCTATCTTTAATTTAGTCCTACATCGTTTCTACCTTTTTTTATTTTCTTTGTGAGTAAACTAATACTGGTCGATGTGTTTCAGTACGGCCGCTCGGAGGCGGGTGGAGTGGAGCACGTTCCTCCAGGCTGGAGCTACTGGGTCGGACTGGTGAGAGAGAAACTAAAAGCCCTCGTCCTTTCAAACGTCTTTCTGCTGCAGGCTGTTCATTTCATTTCTGCCACAGCACATTAACGTTTCAGCTCACAAACTAAATAAATACGTTTAACAGAGCGCCAAACTACTTTAATCCACGTGGTCACGTGACCTAAAGAAGGAGCCGGACCGACCAACGGGCCAAAATGAGATTTTCTTTATTATGCTGCTACGCTGTTTGCTCAAGTCCTGAAGCGGAGGTCACGTCCGTAATGCGACCGCAGTGCAGACGAGTTTATCTCCGCCGCTACTAAACAAACCGATGGTCTCGTGACCTGACGGCTTTACACACACACACACACACACACACACACACACACAGATAAATTCAGAGCACGTGTGACCGTGATGAATTTAAAGTCAACGTGTTTTTTTATCTGCAGAGTTACTTTTCTAAAATGTAGGAATCCAAAAGGGTTTCTTTTATCGCTGCGTCCCGGAGTATTTCCTCACAGCGGCTTGTTTTCCAGGAGAAGAACTCTAAATACTACAACTACACTCTGTCAGTGAACGGAAAGGCCGAGAATCATGGAGCGGACTACGGCAAAGACTACCTGACCGACGTCCTGGTGAGGAAAACAAACGCCTCTTATATTATGTCCAGTGATAACAGGTCTGTCTGCGGATCCTGCTTTGGGGGGTTTGACGTCTACTTATCTAGAAACAAACGTGAAGACTCTCTCCTCCTCTCAGGCCAACAGGTCTCTGGACTTCCTCCAGTATAAATCCAACTACATGCCGTTCTTCATGATGGTGTCCATCCCGGCCCCCCACTCCCCCTGGACCGCGGCGCCTCAGTACCAGAACAGCTTCAACACCACCAAGGCTCCCCGAGACCCCAACTTCAACGTCCACGGGAAGGCAAGGCGACCTCTCCTCCCTCTTCCTCAGCGAGATGTAAAACACGACAATAAAGCCATTTTAAATGCATCTTGTTCTCCACGTCGCTCCTCTGCAGGACAAACACTGGTTGATCCGACAGGCCAAGACCCCGATGAGCAACTCCTCCGTTCAGTTCCTGGACGACGCCTTCAGGAAGCGGTGAGTCCTCCTCCATTCGATCCGCCCCCGTCGCCCCGCGTCCGCGTGGCTTCACTGCAGCTCTGCTGCTGCTCTCCTCGGCCTCCAGGTGGAGAACCCTGCTGTCGGTGGACGACCTGGTGGAGAAGATAGTGAAGAGTTTAGAGGTCAGAGGGGAACTGGACAACACGTACGTTTTCTTCACATCGGACAACGGCTACCACACAGGCAGGTCAACGACACGCCGGGTTCATGTGCAGAAGAACTCCTTTACTCAAGTGAGATGAAGTTCGGGTGAAAGTTAGACATTTATTTATTCTGGTGCGTTTCTTTCAGGTCAGTTCTCTCTTCCTCTGGATAAGAGGCAGCTGTACGAGTTTGACATCAGAGTTCCTCTCATGGTCAGAGGACCGAACATCAAGCCCAACCAGACCAGCCGGGTACGCGCACACACACACACACGCACACGCACACACAGTCTGTTGCACTAAATAAATGACATCTGTCTCGTGGTCAGATGCTGGTGGCGAACGTCGACCTCGGTCCGACCATCCTGGACATCGCCGGCCACGACGTCAACAAGACAAATATGGACGGCATGTCCTTCCTGCCCGTCATGGTGAGGTCACTCGGCCGCGCTCGCTTTAAATACTACGGTCCATACGAGTCCAAAGTAAAAACGTCTACATATGAGGGAATATTAGGTATTGGATCTAACCGAGGTCCTGTCCTGCCTCTTTTTACCCGATGTCTGTCCAGGAGGGGAAGGTGAACAGCAGCAGCTGGAGGACAGACATCCTGGTGGAGTACGAAGGGGAAGGAAGCCCCGTGTCCGACCCGGCTTGTCCCCTGCTGGGACCCGGCGTCTCGGTACGGGATCCAACCCTCTTAACGTCCCCCGCAGGAGGCGAAAGAAGCCGCTCCAACGCTCTCCCCCTCTCTCCCCTCCCCAGGAGTGTTTCCCGGACTGCGTGTGCGAGGACTCGTACAACAACACGTACGCCTGCGTGCGGACCGTCGCCCTCTCGACCGACCTGCAGTACTGCGAGTTCGACGACAACGAGGTTTGTTCCGGGGGGGGGCCGGACGCATCCCGGCTTCAGCAGCTTTAAGTCAGACAGTTTGACAGTAACGCGGCTCGGGGGGGGGGGCGTTTTCCTCCTGCAGGTGTTCGTGGAAGTCTACAACGTGACAGCTGACCCCTACCAGCTGACCAACATCGCCAAGACCATCGACCAGGAGGTGCTGGAGAAGATGAACCACCGGCTGATGATGCTGCAGTCCTGCTCCGGCCAGACGTGCCGGACGCCCGGCGTGTACGATACGAGGTGCAGAGAGTCCTCTCACGTTCACCCGAACCGCACTGCTGAGACGCTTTGTTTCCTGTAGAGTCCGAACAATTTGTGTGAATAGGATTTTTTATTTTTTTTATTTATCTAAAAAAAAAAGAGATTTTGAGTTTTCATACTATTAAAAATGTATTTAATATATGATAATATATAATACTTATTTAATATTTAAAGTCTGGTTGAAATGCGCACTGCTATGAAATGAATTCACCACATTTATATAAACGGTAACTAACTTACATGCTCAATTATCTTTTATACACATTAGTGGCACTTGTAGGAATTTTACATGTAACATTTTACACGGATAAATTTAAAAAAAGAAACTAGTTTCTGAATTGGGAAAATAATTTAATTTAACTCAAGAAAATATTTTATATCTCAGGAAAACTTAAGTTTGATTGGAAATGTACAGAATCAATTAAACTTCTTCTTCTCTTATCAAAGTTACTTGGAAATAATTATTAAATAAATAAACTCCGTTAGATCTATTTCCACTTTAACATCTGCCTCTCTAACATTAAAATGGACCCTTTTGTCCTGTGTGTTTTCTTGCAGGTATAAATTTGACCCTCGACAGATGTTCCCGAGCAACAGCTGGCCGCCCAGCCGACTCCGACAGAAGAAGTAAGATGAGGAGGAGGAGGAGGAAGAGGAGGGCTGTGTCCTATTTCTTGTATTCGGGCCTTTCGTGCTGCTGTTGCCGTGTTTCTGGGCCTCACAAGCCTCTCTGGAGGAGCAGAAGGGGCCCACGTGGCACCGGGGCCCCTCTGGGTGCAGGACCCACCTTTTATAGCTTCTGGATCAACGTGTCAACGATCCAAACTGTGGGAGCTTGTCTTATTTTCTCTAATTGTCACTCATATGGTCGTCAAGAATTTCAATCTTAATCACAGAGAAAACTGCAGCAAATCCCACGAAGCATCCAAACGTTTATTTACATGATCAATCAAGCAGTGCTCCTTTAAAGGTATCACTACGTGTAAATATCACGTTCCCTGACATTTCTGATCATTAGTACAAGATTTCAAATTACGAAACAATGAAAACGTGCTTGTTTTTCTTTAATTAGTTTTCTTAATTAATCCTCAACTATCGATCCCAATAAACAGCTGATCAGCAATAACATGTTAATGGTAAATAGTTTTTAAAATAGTAATCCTCTGAATTTGATGCAAACATGTTCTATTTTCAGACCTTTTTCTTGTTGAGTGGAGCTTTTACACAGCGAGATGTTCGCTGCTCTTCTCGTGTTTAAAAGCCTTATTTGGACCTTGTTTGAAGAACGTTCGCTGGAAGAAGCTTAAATGGGTTTTTACGGCCTGTTTACTGTGACAGAGTCACTGAGACGGAAAATAAAAAGCTCGAAAAACTGCTGCTGATTTAACAAGTGGAGCCTTAATGAGAATTACAAGAGCCACAAAAACGAACCAAATGTTCTTGAGTCAAAACAGTTTAAAGTTAGACTTCGAAATGAATTCCATTATGTCATAACTGTCTCCTTTTAATAAGGGCAGAAATGCGATTTTCTTTGTTGGAGGAGATTTGAACTTAAAATCAAGTATTTTGCTCCGTTTTGCAGCTTCCTGAGAAGCTGAAACGCTGCTTCAGTGCAGAGATGATCCTCCTGATGGGAAAGAGGAAGAAGCAATTCTAGAAAAATAGAAGATATATTTAGCCAAAATGTCCTTTCTCACATTATCAGGGTTCCACTCAGAAGTTTTGGAGTCACTTCTTTTCATCAAGAATTTTCATTTCACTTTAAATTATATGCAGGAACTTTTAATGGGCAAATAGAAATGAAACATTTATATTTGATATCTTTTGAATGTGACCTAAAGGGAAATGAAAGGAAACGTGTATTTTTGACAGAAGTAATATTTCTTCACAGATAGTTATTTTTAATTTCAAAAGATCAACGTATTTCTAATTTCAGATAAAATCTGTGCAGATTATTAACATCCAGACACTTTTGAAGAAAAATGAGATCCAGAAAGTCTCAAGCCGTCGAAAAAGAAAAAGTCTGATTATTTCCTCAAACTGAATCAACAGTTCTACCTTTTTATTTCCAGCAGTACGTCTTGTTTTATTCTTGGACTAATATTTCCATCCAGCTTCTTTCTTCCTCTGCAGTGTTTCTGATTCACATCTGAACTGAATTAATGTGAAACTCGGGTTTCAAGTCACTGATGCACTTTTTCAACCTGTCAGAACTGTTTCATTTAGGAGCCTTTTGTTTTTAGAATAGTTGTGTGATTGTGTATTTCTGGCTTGTGTTTTCTGTCCGAATAAAGAAATGATTGAAAATAAAAACAGAAGATCTTGCTCAGTTGCTTTTGAATAATCTGATTTCACAATAAATGTGAAAAAGTAACGTGTATTATTACAACGTTGCTTTAAGAATTGAGGTTTTTATCTATTTTCCCTCTTTGAAAAATGCCTTAGTCGTTTATTTAAATTTATGACCTTTATATTTTGAGATGTTCTTTTTGCAACATTCAAACCAATTTGAAGAAGTTATAAAACTGTAACTCTTATAAAAGCCTCACAAATGTTCTTTTTATGTAAAAAATTAGCTCAATTAGCTCAATTTTAGGATTCTGGGTCCAAAGAGTTCTTTAAATCTCCCGGTTCGCCCACAGACGATTAAAGTTCTTCCACTTTGCTAATTTCTACCATTTATGTTCCTAAGTAACGTTTTTGCGACGCTAAAAACTTCATTCCATGTTTGAGTCTGAGCGCATGGAAGACGATCACGGCGGGAGTCGCCGCCCCTAAAAACACCGGCGCCCTCCTGCGAGGGTCCGCGCCGCTCATCGGCCCCCCGGCCCCTCCAGCACGGGCAGGAAGGGCAGGTCGGTGTTGCCCAGGTACGTCCTCCCCCGGTGCTGGAACACCTCGCTGACGGCCCACGTCAGCCGGCCCTCGGGGTCGTGCAGCGTCGCCACCACGCCGCCGCCGTCCGCTCCGAGCTCCAGGACCAGAGCGTAGCGCGGCAGCAGCACGTCGTACCAGCGGAGAGGAATCACCTGAGGGGGACAAAGTTCATGAAGCACATGAAGTACACCGATCAAATGCATACAAGCAAATACTAAAGTACACCAAGTACACAGTATTACTACATCGTGTTAGTAGTGATGGTGATTCTACTATTCCAGTTTATCTGAGCTGAATAGTCAGTTTGACCTCAGTTGGCATTTCCCAGAGTTCACTGGGAGTTCACACTGTGTGTGTGTGTGTGTGTGTGTGTGTGTGTGTGTGTGTGTGTGGGGGGGCTTTGGGGGTCCTGCCCCTGTCCCGTCAGATTTCACACTATCTCGTCTCGGCAGCCGTGGACAGACCCGTTTCTCTCCTGACTGACGGACGAGATAATTGGAGCCACGCGCAGCGCTCCAGATGCATCATGGGAAAGTAGCCGTGGGCACAGCTGCTGATGAAAAGTGCTCTTCCGTTGTCAAAAGCATCTGAACTCATTCTCATCGATCACATTTCTTGACCACCCGGAGTTTGTCGGCACCGAGCCAAAGAAGACGTGGACCGGACTGCGCTGGACCGGAGTGGCGTGCTCGTGCAGGAAGTTGACGTCTGCGGCGGCCCCATCGATCCTATCAGCGAAATTCATTTCAAAAGCCCATCACGGAACAATAAGACCGACCTTGGCCAGGAAGCGCTTGACGGCCGGATACGGTGCGATCAGGTCCAGGAAGGGAGGCGTGGCCTTCCGGAACCGTGTCGTCGTCATGCCGACCAGGAAGGTCCCGCGGTCGCTGCGGCGGATGTTGTCGGGGTAACCGATCATGTTGTCCACGGCGACCTCCTTGGTGCCGGCCTTCGGCCCCTTGAGCCAGTACCTGAGGGCGGACGGGGAGTCGGCTGAGTGACACGCGTGTGCGTGCACGCGCGTGTGCGTGTGCGTGCGTGCGTGTACCTCAGCACGCGTCCGATGCTCGTCTCCGCCACCAGCAGGAAGCGTTCGTCGGGGGACAGGGCGACGCCGTTGGGCATGTAGAGGGAGTCCAGCAGGACGTCCACGCGTCCCGTCTCCGGGTCGTAGGAGAGGAGGCGGCCGAGGCGGTTCAGCTCGATCACCTGAGGACACGGAGCGCTCGTTCGTAGTGTCGGGGGTCATACGTGTCTTCAATGTTATCATTTCCTTCCTGCGTGATAATTTAAGGTAATGCAAGTTGTAGCTTATTTAACAAGGCTGAATTTAGTCAAACTAGTTCACGTTATTATTGTCGCTCATATTATTTCAATTTCAACGTCACGATTTCCATTAATTTGCTGAATGAAAAATTCAACAACACGTTCTTATACGCTCTTAATCCTGTTGACTCGTTATTACATGTTTTCCGTGAGCAGCCGGCCAACTTGTGAATACATTAAACACTATAAAGTGTTTAATCCTCCGAATGGACCCTTTGGATCACTCGAGGGGCCTCATGGTCCCTGTGGGGGCTTTTCTCTCCTGATGAATGGAACCCTAATTCGCTCCGGTTGAAGTAATCACCCTGTCTCAACTCAAAGGACTTTATTAGCGTCCTTATTAGCGTCCTTATTAGCATCCTTATTAGCATCCTTATTCTCTTCTTCTGGCGGACCGGACGGACGGACGCACAACAAGAACAGGACGAGTGTCCATCGGCGGTCATTTGTCCGGCTCACCTCCAGCCTGACGTGTCTGCGCCCCCACCGGCTGGAGGAGTCGGTGAAATAAACCAAACCGGTCTGGGAGGAGATCTCCAGGCCGTTCAGGAAGGCGAAGGGAACGCCATCAGCGCCTGAGGAGCAACGACACGGAGCGTCTCAGACGGGGGGGGGGGGGGATCATCTACACACATATGTCTCACACACACACACACACAACCTTGTTCATTGGAGCGGAGCAGAGTCTTCTCTCCGGTTTGCGGGTCGACGCTGTGCAGCCCGAGGTACGAGTCGGCGACTATCAGCTGACCGCGGCGATCCAGGCGGACGCCGTGAGGGCGACCGCACACGGGCTCGTAGTCCGTGCTGCTGCCTGCAGACACACAACACGAACACGTGACCTAAGGAAGGGTTTTTGCTCATGCGATCCTGAGAATTAGAAAGACAACTTATCGCCACAAACGTACAAATATCATTTAGAAGAAGGAAGGTTTTTCAAAATAAAAGGCTGACCGCATTCTGGTAAATCCTGCCCCATCTGAGTGATGAGGGTGAGCGTGTCATCAGGACCGATTCTCCACAGCTTCCCGTCCACCGTCCCTGTGAACACGTTACCTGAAACAACGCGGACGGCTCAGAAAAAAGACCCACAGAGAGCGACGCGGACGTCACGTGACGCCTCAACTCTGCATGCAGTCGAGCATTAATTCATATTAAATAGTGTAGCTAACTAAAACAATGAGGTAAAAGTCAGCACCCTCACCCTCCTCATCCGCAGTGAAGGATTCTGGTCCGTGTAGTTTCCCAGGAAACAGCCTGCGACCCTTCTGCAGCCGGGTGTTGACGGCCAGCGGCCCCTCGAGGGCCGGGGGGGGGCCCTTCAGTCTGCAGGGACCGATTTAGATTACTGCAGTTAGTCTATATCAGTTTAAAGCGCTCAATAAATAATAGTACACTGTGTTGCTTCTTTAGAAAGTAGTTGCTGTGTGTGTGTGTGTGTGTGTGTCTGTAGTTACACATGTGGTTCGGGGTCTATGGGAGAAGGCAGCAGGTAAACACCAACAACCACGGCGAGCAGAGCCGCTACTGACGACCTCTTACTCAACCTGACGGAGAGCAGAAATGTTTATCATACTTTTAGACACTTTACACGCAAAACATAAGGAATAAAAACATACAAAAGAGAATCAAATGAAAAATGACATTTAATACAAGAATAAAACAAAGCTTGACCCTCATGGCTTCTTATTTCACGGACAGCGTTTTATTTCATTATAAAAAATAGGGAATCAAACAAAGATTCAGTGGACAGCCTGCAGTTAATAAGTCAACAGGGTTGCGTCACACACGGCGAGGTGAACTTTGACATGGACGAGATGTTTCACTCGGGATCTATAAGATGCCACACAGAGGAGGAGGTCGTTCGTGTGAATCAATCAGACTGATCCATGTTGGTCAAATCGAAACACGATCCCACGGTCCATTCAGAGGCCTTTTGTGCTTTAAACGTGCAGTAGTTCCTCTGCACATCGCTTGTGTGTAGTTGGACTGGGAGTGTGAGAACATGAGACATTGTTCTCGGGAAATAAGAGAATTCTCTGAATGAGCAACACTTTGCATGCTTCCCGTGAACTTTTCTTTATTAAGTTTTAGCACTATTTGACAAATGCATTTCACAAACCCGGAGTTAAATAAGTCACAGAAAAGCAGGCAGGAATCACTTCTGGCCCAATTTAAACTGTTTGCCGTGTATCGTCTTGCACCCACAGCTGTTCTTCGGTTGTTTATTTGTTAGAAAATAAAATAAAAATTAAAAATGCTGCTGGCTTATTTTAATTAATGCCGATAAGGAGTCTGAACCTTCATTCTCCCAAAAAAACCCTCTAATTGATTTTTATTACGACGCCGCAGTGTTTACAACAACAATTAACGGATTTGTGAACGCAGTCTGGTGACGCAATAATAGAATACTTCCCTCACTTTCCGGCGCCGTCGAAATTAACCGAAGCCTCGTATTTATTTTTAAAGTTTAAAATGAATCAAGTGTCCAACTCACATTGTTGAGTTTTCCAGCGTCTCTTCTTCCTGCTGCAAAAAACAGGTCCGGCTGAGAGCAGCGTCAAGAACGCCGCAGCATACACGAGAACATCCGGCCTGTTCCTTCAAAGTAAGAGCAGCGAAGCACACGTTTCCGGCCTATTTGTGCTTCTGCATTTTCAACCCTTAAATCAATTTAAAAGTCACTTGTGTGGATTTTAGGGATTTTATATCAGGTAAAAGTAACTATTTCCTTCATAACGTCTTCTGAAAATGTGAAATGACCCCAACCAAAACATAAAAGAGAGAGCCTTTACTTTGAAGGCAGCATCGGCAGGCTCCCTCCTTCAGCTTCACGTGAAAGTTTAGTGTGTGAGACAGCAGAGGGGGGGGCGGCAGACCCCCACTTTTCGAGTCTGAAAGCCGGGGTCACACAGAGGTCAGGAGGAGGCGCTGTTTCCATCCGGCCTTTCCAAATTTTCCCACTTAAAGGTCTTAATTTTCCCTATTTGTATTTGTGCAGTTCATCTGGAGATCAGTTAAATTATTTAGGAATAATAAAACATGTATTACCAAAATATGTCATACAAGGAATGTGACTTGGCGGTTGGTGCATAACATAAGACAATAAGACAATGGACAACAAGACAGATAGAGAAAACATAGTGCAAGAGGAAACAAATGTCAGAATGTCAGAGTCAGTCAGTGGGGGACCGGCTCTGTTGATGAGCCCGACTGCCGACGGGAAGAAGCTGTCGGTGTGGCGGGAGGTCTTAGTCCTGATGGACCTCAGCCTCCTGCCAGATGGAAGGGGCACTAACAGGTTTTGTCCGGGGTGAGAGGGGTCGGCTACCATCTTTATAGCTTCAGGGTCCTAGAAGCGAACAAGTCCTGCAGGGACGGCAGATTGCAGCCGATCAGCCTCTCTGCAGAGCGGAGGACGCGCTGCAGCCTGCCCTTGTCCTTGGCTGTGGCTGCAGCGTACCAGACAGTGATGGAGGAGCAGAGGACGGACTCCATGATGGCCGTGTAGAAGTGCACCATCATCGTCTTTGGCAGGTTGAATTTCTTCAGCTGCCTCAGGAAGAACAACCTCTGCTGAGCCTTCTTGGTGATGGAGCTGATGTTCTGCTCCCACTTGAGGTCCTGGGTGATGATGGAGCCCAGGAAACGGAAGGAATCCACAGCGGTGCTGATGGTCCGAGAGGCTGAGACATGTTTCCCAGCATCACGTGCTGCTTCCTGTCAGACAGGTGGAGTTTGTCCTGCAGCAGAGACGGGATGATGGTGTTGAAGGCAGAGCTGAAGTCCACAAACAGGATCCTGGCGTAGGTTCCCGGGGAGTCCAGATGCTGGAGGATGTAGTGGAGGGCCATGTTGACAGCAGGGGGTCCAGGAGGGGGTCGGTGAGGGTCTTCAGGTGGGACAGGACTAGCCGTTCAAAAGACTTCAGGGCGACGGGCCTGTAGTCATTGAGTCAGCCAAGTCTGCCAATTCTCTGAATTCTGTCTTGATCTTTTTGGGGATTACAGGGAAGCAACTAAAAACTTTTCATTATCTGTTAATCCGTTTTCTGCTGTATAAAATGTCAGCAAATAAGAAAATGTAATTCTCTAATTTAAAGTTGATGTCTTTAAAAATGTTTCGTGGGGTTTAAACACAACATGAATAGTATAAAATAAAGAAATGTAGCAGATTCTCCTAATTCACAAAAATAAACGAGGATTATACATTAACCCTTCAGCTCCGATTATGCATAATAAAGTAACCATATTTAAGTTGAAAGTTGAAAGAAAAACATACAAGGAGGAGAATTTATTTGGTTTTAATTCCACCTTTAATAGACGCCGCCTCGCGTGGCTCAAAGGCCACATTCTGGCAACAAACAGAAAAATAAAAACCTGCCATGTGATTCTCTGTTGAAACAAAAAACAGCATATTTGGAACAAAACACAAGGAGCGTGTCAGTAAACGGCAGGAGAGCGACACACAGATGTTTGGCATTTATTGTACAGATGTACGTAAAAAGTCCCTTCAGTGGCTTTCTGGAGCTTTCGATCGTATCAAAGCGTCATGTGACCACAGGTTGATTTTCTACCCGGTGAAGATCGTGTCATGTGATCAAAAGCTCCACGAAGTATCAAAGCGCACTGAAAGCTCTGCAAAATAATAAGTAAGTACACCTCAAGGATTAAACACCATGGAAACAGAAATACTAAAATCTGCCTTTAAAATGTCCTTAATAACGTTATTAAAACTGCTGCTTTGTATTTATCTGCTGGTTTAATAATTAATTTATCATCACTTTGTTTGAGTTGGAGACAAATCTGAATATATAAAAGACGTTCAAGGAGAATAAAATATATTTTTTCTCCGGAGCTTTCAGCAAAATGTCATGGCCTCCACAGGCCTTCCACACAAAAACTATTATATTGTCCATCGTGTTCCATGTCATAGAAAAACAAATCAACTTAAGAGAAGAGCTCAACGACATCTTTCAAAATAAGATTATAGCGTGTTAGATGTTAAGAGTCTGATGGCGGCAGGAGACCAAAATAAAATAAAAAACTGTCTTCCCTGAATTCAAAGTTAAAGTGCCCGAAAATAATCGATACGACTCATCTGGATTTAACAGCTAAGGTTGTTTATCAGATAGACAAACAACAACAACATGGCTTTAAGATGATTAAACTGTTTCCATGCGGACTTTCGTAACATGTTTAAACTATATTATAGGGAAGCAAAAATAGGTCAAAATATTTTGAGTTTTACAAGGGACTGAATATCTAATTTATGTGAATTATTTGAAATATTCAGTAGTTTGATTCCAGTTTTATTCATTATTGGCAACTACCTAATTTTAAGTTTTAAACATCATTTAGTTTTTCTTACACCCTGAAATTTATATATAAGTTCTTTGAGAAATTAATTACTGGGAAAAACCAAGAGGGAATTTAATCAACAAAAGAAATTAAGATGTAATTCAGTGGATTTATTATTGCACCATAAAGTTAACGTACAGGTAAAGGTTCTTACATTTCCCATAATGCAACGGTTACGTTTTCAATTTGACCCCAAATGCGACCTCCAGTCACATTATACAATATTATATTTACAAGTATATCTCCTCCCGATGGGTAAAACTGAAATTTACCGTCACAATTAGACATTCAGCTGCCTGAAAGATTCAAATTTTTGGACCATTTTAGTGTTTGCTTCCCCAGCGTAAACCCAGTGTTTGATACAAGAAGACGACGGGTTAAAACCCCTTCAGATAAAACTATATATGGTTTTCCCTCCACTGGGAAAAGGCCTCTAATAAATGTTCTGCTCCAGGCAACACCACAAAAATATCTTTGGTTCTAAGAAAATAACAATAGTTTGACACAGAAGTAAGTAGCTGCAGTTTCTGTCCACTAGGCGGCGCCGTTGTACTTCATTCAGTACCTGCAGCGCAAAAAGCGTTTTTTGACTATTGATTATTTTCGTGAATCTGGTCGTTTGTGAAAGTGATTATCTTCGTTTTCTCAAACATGTTTTTTTGCTTTCTCGATCACCAGAAATAAAATGAATTTTCTACAAAACTAAATTTAAAAAAAGGAGCCTCTTTGGTCTCAAAGCCATAAACGATAAGCTGAATTCACTAAAGACAACATTGCATAGATATATTTAAGGCAGCGATCAACTTTTCAAAACCTTTCATGAACCTTTACTGCACAAAAGACCTCCATTTTTGTGCAGAGCTCTGTGTGTAACGTCCGTCCTTCCTTCCTTCCTTTCCTCTTCAATATTTCCCCTTTCAGACCTCCTGTGGATTACAGGATCCCATCGTCTCCTTCTTCCTCCATCTTACGTCTCCTCTTCCACTTCCTCTCCGTCACCTTCCAGAAACCTGTCGAGTTTCCCTCCGCCCTCATGTGGCCACGCAGGGTCAGAGGTCACGACTAATCGAACCAGACCAAACGTCCTCCCGAGCTCACCGCTGTCTTTTTTTTATTACGACGTTCTTTAATGGAGTCTGTAGTGTGCCAATAAGAACTTATCCAACTGAAGTGAGCAGTGAATCGTTTTATTGTGACGGCTAATTAAAAGTAATGTTCCATTTCATTTTGTCCAATTTCGTTGCTGTTTTTCTTTCAACTTGTTGTAAATGAATGATTGGCAAGTAATGAACTGATTAATTAGAAAATAAAAGAGCAGGTTCATTAGTAAAGGAAAAATCTTAAAGGTCTTTTAATGGTAAAGTATTTGGTTATAGTTACTCAATTAAGCCGATTAAAGAAACAAAAACCTCATTATTGATGGATTATATGCATGAGTGTGTTTTATTTAAACACATCTGTTATTATAATTGTTTGCTTTTCCCGCTCTGTTAAAATAATAATTAAAAAAATGACAGTAAACATAGAACCAAACTGAATCAACCAGCAAAAGTAAATAAACATTATTCCTACGGCACACTCGAGACTCCACATAAGAATATAAATACCCTCCAATCGAGACTTCCAGTGTATCCTCTAAATGTTTCCTTTTCCTCCCACCTTCACGCAGCTTCAGCTGTTTTTAATGCTCATGTTGTGTCTTTTCCTCCAGTAGATAAACTCTGCTTCTGTACAAAAAAAAACTAAAAATAAGACTTTTGTTTCTTTCAACAAATCATAAAAAGCTTCAACCATATAAATTAAGAAAAAAAATATGTACAGACCTTTAAAACAGAAAAATTAAATAAACCTCTGACTCAACACGTGGCCTTGAGTCCTTAAAAGGAATTAGATAAACTATGTGACAGCAGGACCGAGAGGAGGAAGAGGAGGAAGAGGAGGTTTGGCACGGTGAAGTGAATCTTTGGTGAGATCGGGCAGCACTTTGAGGTCTTTAATCCGGGTTTCGTCTCCCGTCGCTCGCTGTCCCGTCAGTTTATCGTTCCCTCACTTCCTCCCTCCGAGCGCCGGATCCTCACCTCGCGTCAAAAATGTACACTTCTCCTCCTCTGAGGTGAGAATTACAAAAAAAATAAAAGGGTCTCCCTCCTCGCCGTGGTCCTGTTCGACGGAAGGCTCCTCCCCTCAGAGGCTCCTCCCCTCAGAGGCTCCTCTGACCTCGCTTAGCGCCTCCTGCAGTCTGAGGCGATACGCATCGTAGCGCCGCTTCACCGCCTCCCTTTGCTCCGCCTCCTCCTTGTCGAGGATCCGCAGGAAGTTGCGCAGCTCGGGGATGGAGAACGCGTCCCACTGAAACGAGGGGCAGCGTCACTTTAACCACGAAGAACAAATAATAATAATAATAATAATAATAATAATAATAATAATGGGAACATTGCATCACAGAAGGGAGGCGGAGCTAAAAAGCGTTACCATGACTTCGCCATGCTGCTCCCTCAGGACGAAGCTGAGCGTGTCTCCGTCGGGTCCCGCCACCAGACGGAGGAACAGCGGCTGCTCGTCATCCGCCAGCTTACACACATACACTGGAGGACACACACACACACACACACACACACACACACACACACACACACACACACACACACACACACACACACACACACACACACACACACACACACACACACACACAGACAGATTAATGTGGGCTGCGGTCGCTGCAGATGGATTTGATGTGTGTGTGTGTGTGTGTGTGTAAACATGTAAGGCAGAAGATGAAATGGTGAGTGTGACCTCAGTAATTGAGAAAAAGGGAGAGTGAGAGAAAGACGGCGTTGTTGAAACGATCGCCGGCCCTTTAAGGCGACCCACACACCGATAGTCTGAAAAAGGTTAATTACGTTAAAAGAAATACGATTCATCAACAACTATAAATGGTTCAAAGAGAAAAAAAACACAGAATTTACTTCATCGGAATCAAGTGTCAAACAAAAGTTTGTGAAAACCTGACATACATACAAAAATACCTTACTTACAAAAGCCTGTTTAGCTTAGCTTAGCATAGACACTGAAAACAGGGGGACCAGCTAGCATGGCTACGTTACAGCGTTTTATGCACCTTTAAAGCTCGGTTATGTTTCCGGAGTAATAACTGAAAAGCTTTTGGGGTTTTATTTGAACGAGTGTTCCTTTAAGAGAGCAAAGTCACGTCCACAGCGACCTCCTTTCTACTCCCGTGTGTTTGCTCCTAAATCTGAAGGACGCTTGCAGACTTGTTTTTATACGAGAAGCTCGGAGTGCAAAACATGTCAGACGTCCGTCTCCACCACGTCTCCTACTAGCGGCCTCACGGAGCGTCTCCAGTGAGACGACAACAGAGCCGACGGTTAAAGCAAAGCTCGCTGGAACAGTGTGAAATGTAAAAGACTATGGTATGATTTTAAAAAACGTGTTATTAAAACCATTAACCATCTTTTTCTTTACTTGCAGAGCTGAAGATAATATTTGAAACCCGGCAACAGCTGCTGGTGTGTGTGTGTGCGTCTGTGTATATTACATGCGTGGGCATTGCCCACATTGTGTATCAACATTAGGGCGAGGCATTCAGAAACACACACACACACACACACACAACCACACACACACACAACCAGATACACACAAACACGCCTCAAGAGCATGTCAGTGCCGAAGCATCTGATACCGAGCTCGGCATGAGTGGCATGAAACACACTGTCTCCAGCTATGTCTCTCACACACACACACACACACACAGACACAGACACACACACACACACACACACACACGGCTCCAGTCTTACCCTGGTCCTCCCTGCGGTAGCGTTTGTACAAGCCGTATTTAGCCGGGTTGTCTGCGACGGTGAACTTGTTCAGCAGGGCGACGATCACCTGAACACACACACACACACACACACACACACACAGACACACACACACAGACAGACACAGACAGACACACACACACACATTAGCCAATATTCATATTCAATACTCTCATCAACACCCGTCGGCCAATCAGCAACAAGATACTGGGATTCGGTCTCTATCGGTTCCATCAACACAGAAAACTGAACCAAAATTTAATAAACCTTCAACATCTGTTACACATCTGTCACCAGGCCCTAATGAAGCCGCGCCGACGTGTGTGTGTGTGTGTGTGAGAGCCACCTGTTTGACTGTGTTATTGGAGCTGATGTGGAGGGTGTTGGTGACTCCTCTGGGCAGATAGAAGGCCTCCTCCACCCGACCTCCACCGGCACCCTTCTGACCCCCCCGCACCGTCACCGGCCTCCTCAGATCCATCTGGACTTTGATGAAACCAGTGTACACACCAGTGGGACTCTGGGAGGGAGAGACGGGGCATCCAGGAGATACGGTTATTAGAATATTGAGAAGACGTGTCCTTAAGATGAATCCTTCACAGTGACCAGTGCTCCCAATAAGCCCAGTGGGCAGCACAGATGGCCTCAGAGGGAGGAAGAGCTTCTTAATCTCATTACTCCATGTGGAGCCGGGAGGAGATCAGGAGCATGCACGCGCACACACACACACACACACACACAGACACACACACACAAAATAGATAAGATGACAAAGAGAGCTTCACACAGCGATGAGATGAGCAATGAGATGTGAGCGAGGTGGAGGAACCGGCCTCCTGAAGACGAGACGCTCTCAAAGTCCACAGGGGCCCGAGAGGAGCTGAGGAGCTGCTGCATGGGGCCGAGGGGAGGACAATAGCAGGAAGAAGATCTCCTCCGAAGAGGGCTGAGGAATGCTGACGTCACTGGAAAGCCTGCAGGGCAGCTGTGTGTGTGTGTGTGTGTGTGTGTGTGTGTGTGTGTGTGTGTGTGCGTGCGTGCTCACCAGAGTCATCTTGAGGAGGTCTCTAGTCAGCATGTTGTACTGGTCGATCTTCTGGCCGATTTCCTCCCTGCTGAACTCCGTCCGAAGCTCCCGGTCCTTCTCCACATCCTGAGGAGGACGCAGGAGGAAAAGGGTTTAAAGTTTAAAACCAGATAAAAACACCACAGCTCACAGCAGCAGAGAAGAGCTCACAAGTTTATTGGAAATAAGTCATAAAAAAAAAAAAACCTCACAAAACGTACAGCGTTTTCTAAATGTACTAATCTACTAAATATACAAAATAGAAGAAAATAAATTAGAGGAATATAGAATTAAAAATATATATATATAAATACAATAAAAAATAAAGTGCACTCTTATTGTGCGCACTAATCATTCTGGCTCTGTGTGTGTATGTGTGTGTGTGTGTGTGTGTGCGCGCCATTCGGCCATTAACAAATAGCCCAGGAGGTCGAGGCCGGAGGGCCGCCAAGGTCGCGGAGGGAAAGTTCCAGATAAAGACGGAGGACTCACACGTGAACGTTACAGAGACAAACGACTGCATGTGAGCGGAGACGAGGAGACGGGATAAAAACAACCTTTTTACTATTAATGTACAAGCAGACAGAAACATTTCATTTAGGTGACGCCACGAAGATTAAAACTCAAAACACAACCGAATCTGGACGAAGGAAACAAACGAGAGAGTTTCATGATGCTTCTGTCTGAATGTGCAGCAGAGACCTTAATTCTCCACAGTGTGTCTGTGTGTGTGTGTCTCTATCTGTGTGTGTGCTTACATGGGCATAGTGCAGCGCTGCTCAAAGTCTATTAAAAACCACACACACACACACGGTGCACATTGTACACAATCCAGGGAGGCTTTGAAGGCTCATACGCCCTTATATGGAAAACACACGAAGGACAAGGTGACAATACAGCGCGCGCACACACACACACACACACATCCACACACTTAGATTAAAGGAGGATTTGGATCCCTCTATGTTACACAAGATATTAAATGATTGTTATTAGATGGAAAATGCTGATTTGACTCATTAATAATTTCAGTGATTAAGGGAAAATGTTTGCATTTGAATGTCATTTTAAAATAATGGATTTAATGTAATGTTTAAAATAAGCATTTCAAGTGACCTCATCCTGCTCTCCGATAACTTGTGACAGTTTTCACTACTTGTCAATGAATAAAAATACAGTTGAATCAGCCTCCAAACTGCTTGAGAGGAAAATCATCATTTAGGTCAAAACACGCGTCGGTCTGCACGCGTCAAATCGCCCAGAGACACAAACGCTGACTCATCAGGATCAAACCGGGCCGGAGACATGCGGGGCCACCGGACCTCAGCGCGTCCACACGGCAGCCCAAACACCACCACGGTGGGGCCGCAGCATGAGGGACGCGTGTCTCCGTCCCCTGTGAGCACCCGCCGGCTCAGACGAGTCAAAGCTTGTTATTAGCAGGAAGCGACCGGTAAGGAGATTACCTGTCACTCACCTGCCACAGAGACACACACGGGGAATACCACCCGATCTAGAGAGCCGCGGTGTGAGTGTGTGAGAGAGGGGGGGGGGGCGACCAACAGCGAACGCGATGAGGTCACGTTCCCGTTTGAGAGGACGCAGCGCAGCGAGGAGGACGGGACGGGGAACAGAGGCGGTAGCGGCGATAGCGGAGAAGAGGAGTTCATGGACGCCAGAAACATCTGCGCGTCCAGCTGCAGGAGAAACGTACGGCTCAATCCTTCCTTTCATCCCCCCGTCTCACATTGCAGAGAAAAAAAAGAGGACGAGACAAAACAAGACAAACAAAGTTCGATCTTTATCTCGTCGAACGCTTCACCCACACACACCTGCAGCATTCCTGCCCGTTAGAGCCGTCACACTCGTCTGCAGCCACTATCTGCACATAGATGACATCACCGCGGAGGTGACTGTGTGTGTGTGTGTGTGTGTGTGTGTGACCCTGCAGTGTTACCAGTAGACTAAACAGTGTATTTTCTATGCTAACTGAAGCTAACCTGCATTTAAAGAGGACGATAAAGACGTGAATTATCATTGGAAACCATAAACACGGGAGAATTGTGCTTTTTTTCTACCCTCCCCCAGTCTCTCCATGTTACGTCCTGTTGAATCGAGCGGGGGGGGGGGGTCAGGATGGACCACACCTTTCCTCCCAGAATTCCTTCACTAATGGGCGCACGCACACACTGCTGAGACACACACACACACACACACACACACACCTTTGCTCGGCCTCCTTCACGAGCAATCAGGAAAACGTGAAAACGTTTATTTTACGTGGGAACAGAGGAGGAAGACGGCGGCATCGTCTCCGCAGACGGAGGCGAGGACCCCGCAGACTAAACGGGCCGGACCGCAGGGAGACAACGCAGCCGCAAAGCATTCTGGGAGATTCCACGGAGAGAAACGCGGCCCGGGTGGTCCTCCATCAGGAGCTTCTCCAACAGCAATAAAGAGGAGGACAAGGAAGAAGACACGGCCGATACAAAGGTGGGAGGAGGGGGGAGAAAACCGATGGATTAACAGTAAAGAATGAGGACGTGTGAAGGGGAGGAGCAAACAAAACTCCTTCTACACCTCAAATCCTTTTATCTGCAGCAGTAATTGGATCTGTGGTCGTGTTCACGTATTATAGACAAGTTTTATTTTGTGTTAATAAGGCCTCCTTTTAAACGCAGCTACTCGTATGAACACGGTGCTTTTATCAATAAATGGAACGTTAAACATGTTCAACACACACACACACACACACACACACCAATCAGTTGTTCCTGAAGTAAAAACATGACGAAATACAGGCAGTAAAAAGGTCATAAGAGTCTTTGCACATGTTTGTTTGCATGAGATGAATTGAGCAACAGGAGGTGTGTGTGTGTGTGTGTGTGTGTGTGTGTGTGTGAGCAGGAGGGGGGGGTTGAGATTATGAAACTTCATGACTCTGACCTCAGAGCAGGAATAGAGGTGTGTGTGTGTGTGTGTGTGTGTGCGCGCGTTTTGACACAATGAGCCACACTTCCTGCTCAGAAACACCAGCAGAATGTTTTTGTTGTTCGTCATCGAGCAGATTTTCTAATTCATCTTTTATCATTTAGTCTATGAAGCTTTGAGGGTAAACCTGTGTCAAACGTCTTAATAGCTTATGAAAGTATTTGTTCTGTAACGAGGAGGAAAGGACTCGTGTTGCTGGACATTCGTATGAAAAAGGACATTTTGAGGATACAAACCAATGTATTATTTGGACTTCGGAGATGGAAATTAAATCGGGTGTTTTGCTCTTAATCAATGAAGGTTTCTTTAGTCGTCAACTTATTATTAAACTAAAGAATGTAAAAGCGGCTTTGGTGGAATCCGTTGATTGAATACGACGCCTGAAAACGTCTAATCGCAGTAAACGACTCATCCCGGAGCTGTAATGTGGCGCTTTAAAGGCGCCACGACGCCGTCCGGTGCGTCATTAGTTCCGCGGGACGATAGACGGCCTCGGGCACGCCGGCGTCTGCCTGTAACGTGTAGTTTAAATCCGACGGCCTTTCCCCAGTTTCTCCACAGACCTGACAAACGCCTCATGGTCTCCATGACGCAGGTGCCTCTCAGAGGCTGATTTATCTCATTATACAACCGGCCAGAGCTCTGGAGGTGTGTGTGTGTCTGTGTGTGTGTGTGTGCGCGTGCAGATAGCGATTCATATTTCAGGAACATCACAGGTTTGTTTCCTTTGGAAAAGCGGAGAGGAGAGAAAAGCGTAAGAAAGGAACCGATTTGAATCCGTTTGGCTTCGCCTCGTCGTCTCAGGCTGGAATGTTGAAAACTACTGAAGCTTTTTAACGTTCAGACAAAGTACCAAACAACAACGAACAGACGCTGGCTGCGGTACTTTGGGCGACCGGTTGATCGTGTTCCTCCGCCGCACAATCAGCGAGCCGTAGTCATGGAAACGCTGCGGGTCGGAGCGAGGCGAAGGTCGCCCGAAAGAACTATAAACACAACGGCGTGACCCTTGATTAGCAAACGACCAACCCGGAGCCGTCTTCTGTGGCGAAGGTCATGTAGACATTTTACTAGCGAATTAAAAAACGATAATTATAGTAATATTATAATAATATGAATGCTTTAAATCAGCAAGGCGGAGGATCTGCGGTGCTGCAGCTCCCAAACAAGCAGCAGGTCGAGGGAACAGGATGGAGAGCAGCCGGAAGGTGACATAACAATGGAGGCGGCTTCACGGAGGAAGGAGAACGTGAGAAAGTGAGATTTCCATGTGGAAATTATGAAAACGGGTTTGTCTTACGTTATCATGATTTAATTTTTCATGAAAGTAACAAACATTTGGTTAAATATTTTATTTTATTTATTGATGACAAACTGATCATCTGTAAGCAGATTGTTCTCAGACGTCTCCTTCAAGACTCTTCGCAGATTGTTTTGCGATTGAGGCCGTTTCAGAAACCCCGAAGGAAACACTAAACATCGGCCATGTCTGGCAGTGAACGTCGTATTTAAGGATGAACAGATTCAATAGACAATAAATCGGTCAAAACCATTTGAGTAACTCGGTCCTGGACGCTGACGTGTTTCACTGCGATCTGATCGTCCACCTCGTTCTGCCCGTCACTCAGAGGAAACATGGCGGAACTTTTCCCACAGCGGCGCGCGGGGGGGGGGGGGGGGAAGTTAGAAGCGAACGGCGGAGAGCGGCCTCGCTCTAAATGCGCCCTGAGTCAACACGACGGCGTCTCTGCTCGATCAAAGCGGCGTGAAGACAAGCGGACAGACATGACATCATGATGAAAACACACCTGGCTGCAGGGCGCGGCCCGGTTAGAGGAATAAAATAATAACAGTGCGCCGTGCACAGGAACAACAAACAGCCGCCACTTACTCCTGCGCGCCGCGAGGCCGCCACCTCTCCTCTGACGGGTCGCCATTAATGCCGCCGTGTAACACTGCAGATTAAACCGTAAGCCGATTTCAGCCTCCAGCGTTTATTTATTTATTTGTGGAAAGTGGAACGTGCTGCGGTCAATTCTTCATGATCTTTAAATCATATCTGATCAAAACAAGACCGGGATTACGACCCGTTTGGG